AGATCGTTCTAGACGGCACAAAGGAGCGCCAGGGCGACTTTGTTTTCACCGCGCAGAGCATTGGCGAGTACACCTTCTGCTTCAATAACGAAATGTCCACCTTCGCCGAGAAGATGGTCGACTTCGAGATCGCCGTACGTTTCATATCCGTTTCACATCCATCGACTCAAGGAAGGGGTCAACAAATGCTAAATTGAGCCATTGAAACCTACAGGTTGAGAACGAACAGCGCGCCCAGCTGCCCTCCCGCCAGGGCGCTAGCCCAGAGCAAACCTCCAGCCTGGAGGAGTCTATCTACAAGCTCTCCGCACAAGTCTCTACCGTCTCCCGCAACCAGAAGTACTTCCGCACACGTGAGAACCGTAATTTCAGTACCGTGCGGAGTACCGAGCGTCGGATTTTCAACTTCAGTGTGATTGAGTCTTTGATGATGGTTTCCATGGCTGCGTTGCAGGTCTTTGTTGTGCGTTTCTTCTTCCAGGGCGCTCGGAAAGGTATGTTTATTTCTTCCCCGTGTGTAAGGGATGAATATGGGCGGAAATCAGAGTCGCGTCTGGACTGTTTTGCCTCTGTTATCTATCCTATTTGGTGGATGATTAATAACATTATTTTGAAACAGGTTACGTGTGATGTGAGCATGAGCATGAACAATAATATGATGCATTTCACTACCTTTTATATTGGCGTGTTGGTCTAGTTATTTATGTTGAAAAATCTATGATGTTCTTGTCTGACTGGACAAAAATTGGGAAATATACTCGGTATAGTAGTTGGCTTCGAACCGAGATGGCTGTTGATCGTATGGCATGCCAAAGAAGAGCAGTTGAGGTGAATGTTTAGTATTTATAGTAACTTTGGTTCAGGCTGAGCGTCTAGGATGTTGTACTAGGTAGGGGACTTACAACCCACCGAGGGAAGATCGATTGACACAACAGGCTCAAAAGACACCGGGGAACTGCATGCTCAAGATTCCCAATGGTATATGCTGTACGCCTCAAGCTCTCTATTCCATGGTCGCAGGGGTATAACCGGCTTCCGTCGAAAGGATAGTTTCCAAATAGAAGGTCAGGTCGTCTGTCGCTGAACAACATCAATAAGCACTGAATCATAGCGCAGCCGGAGGCGAGGGCGATCGTTGCTGTATGCTGTATGTTTGCAGGGGTAGAACCGGTTTATGCTCGGACGAAGATTTCTATCAGGGAGCCTAGATGGTCTGTTGATGAGTCGAGACCGACGAAAAAGTCCGTCGACGTTGTGCTGGACCCGTTCTCACGCCTCCCGCCCCTGCCGGCATCTACCATCCTGGATGACTGTGCAGCCGGGGAACCGGGTACTGAATGCTCGCAGAGATGGAACCTGTTTCTGAACGAAGGACAGCCCCCGTTAGTATGTGTGAATGGAGTATGTGGAATGACTTGCAGCATATACTCGCGACCAGAGCACAAAGCAGAGACGAAATCTCACATACTGATCACACTGGTTAGTTTCACACCGGTTTCGAGCATCAGTTAGACGCTATCTTCTCCATATATTATGCGAGGAAATATGGTAAATGGTAAACACAAGTCCAGATGCATTCATGAATGCTAGCGTGTTGAGTGCTGCTCAGCTAAGGGGCAATGTTGTACATAGTACTATCAAGGCCGATATCCTATCAAAAACAAGTTTTTCGCTCCTTGCTTTGGCCCGCAATATACGAGGGCACGCAGACAAATCACAGACAGTCAATAACGAATGTGTGGAGATGGGTTGTTGCTGGACATCCAGGGCAAGGGCCTATGACGTGAGGCGATGTCGGTAAGAATCGGCTCCGTGCAGTTAAATTGCTTCCAGTGATATCATATGCTCGCTACAATGTGCAACATAGGTAGATAGTATGCCTTCGTGCTCCTTTGGCTCACAGGACATCGTAGGGATCGCCGTCAGAGACTGCAGTGTGATATCATTTGAGATGCGCTGGGAATTGTCAATCTCGGGTATCTACTGTTTCAATTGATCGGCATGCAGTACGAAAGTATACAACATACAACGGATATACAAAGTATTGTAATTGATTTAGGCAGTCTAGGGCTTATCATAACGCGTGGGTCTGTATGTGGTTCAGGCCTTCGGACCAGGCACGACATAGAATGGGATAATGAAGGAAGTGGACCGTAAAGACTCATTCATTGACACTTAATAGGCAGAGAAAGACCCGCAGGTGCCATTTCGGTAACATCACGGAGTATGTCTCGCACGCTTGTTTTTGACATGCTCGGATGTTGATACAACTTGTATGCTGTCATGTCTGGGATCAGACCCTTGAGGTGGAGCAGCGGTATGGTTCGGACTCCATCAGACTATGTTGGAAAAGAGGCTAAAACATGCATTGTACACAATTTTCTTTCTACTGACGATATCGTATAGAATTTGAGTCAACACTGATATCAAATGAGTATCATTATCTCTCCACTGACTTGATGAGACGGTGTCTCTCTAGTCTGCATTATTTGTAGTATGATAAGCTCACTATATTGCTGACTTTGGTCTAGACTAATTCCAGCTAGATTAGACTAGTTCTTCTTCGAAACTAGGGGGTCTCGTCCGAAACGCCAGACGGCCGATCATGTCTGCAAATTAGAGTATATTTCAAAACGCTCCGACGTTGCTGTGTTGCTCCTACATAAAACATCCCTCGGGGCAAAGGAGATCCTATATGCTGGATATAAGCTCCGGCTTGCGCTGATATGTCACTCTAATGTTGTAGTACTATGTAGTGCTATCTCTTCAAGTTGAGCAAAATGTACAGCTATCGAAGAGGCAAATTGTAGATAAATAGCTCTGATATGTTCGGTCTCATTCCGATCTTGCAACAATTTGCCTCCCCGTTGGGCATCAAGTTCCATCCAGGGTTCATAGATGGCAAATACATAACTCCGTCCCAATGTTCTTCGATGCGAACGCCCCTGTCACTGACCCATGCGTCTTACCAGTCATTCTGGTCAATCATGTTGTCTTCTAGGAACAAGTATGGACTCCATACAGTGGAACTACCTCGATATTCCATATCGGTAACGCAAGTTTGGTTGCAACCATCGTAGAGCGTCAGAGTCTATAGATCGTAGGATTTCCTGGTTCTGGTACCGTGTCTGGGATATATCTATCGGAAACCAGACAGATTTGAGACTATCTACAACATAGAATAGCGTGAGGATAATATACAACGTAGTCACTACAGAACTAGTATAATCTGAAGATGAGGGCTCACTGACGTCAGGTGCCTCTATGCCTCAGGCATCAATACCAGGACTGTACAGTACATTCCCCAAGGAAATCACTAGCTCGTCTCCACCCGACGTCTCCATTTCTTCCTATTTCGTTCATTTCTGATAATTTGGCGAATGAAAACAGTCGAAAAATGAATTAAACCTTCATTCGCTGCAAACTGTGTCTCCACTATGGCTGAAAGCCTCCATGACTTTGATCTTTGATACGGTGTACCAGACTGTTTCGGCTTCAAGCTCAGATTTTGTACTCCGTAGAAGAACGTTCCATTTTTGATAACCAAATCTGTCTCGGGTAACTCTGATTTCGTTTTGCCATTTCTATGACCGGCAATTATCGGTACTTTCCCGGCCGAAGCACAAAATCAAATTGCTCGGATCGCCCCGACGCCTCGGGGTATGACGGCATAGCTCCAACCCGAGCCCCAGCTACTGCACAGCCTTTTTCTTATGCAGGCGCATTTACTGCTTTCGGCCGCACGGATTACATTGATTTGATGGGCATGTCGAACTAACTGCTAACTATTGGTTTGGTTTGAATCAATCGATGTATCCAAGCATCTCACCCGATCTGCCGGCTTTGTAACAGCGTGTTTATCACTATACCGGGGCTCCACTAGTGATGCCCACATTTTCCTGCCAAAGGACAACCTATCCTGAATCGACACAGAATGCAACATGGGTCTCGCCCTTCCAAAAGGCCATGATAATTCAATTATGATTCGTTTTGTAAACGTCAGGTAAAGATCTGCAGGGGACCGGACTGTAATTGACTGTAATTGTGCCGATCCCAAAACGCCTTCGGCTCTCAATGGTCATTCACATTCCCCAGTGACCTCATCAAGCATTGTGACCAATCCGTGGGTGGAACGACTGATGATATCGCTTCGGGAGTTTACCAGTCTCCGTACACATGTGGATATTAGTTAGTTCATAACATCCTGTGATGATGATTCGACCCCACATTATGGTATACGGAATACCCAATAGGTCAACGGTATTCACTTACCTACAAATACTGAAGGCTGGGGTTTATGATGCTTCTCTTCTTATGATGTCGCCTAGGAGAAAATATCCCCCCTCCTCTTCCCCCCCCCTTTCGGCCAATTATGTCACCGTCCGCCCCTCGGTGTAATCGGTAGAGATCTCTTGTGCTTACCATGGACGGGGGAGAAATTAGGCAACTTGTTGACCTATCAGAGGCTTCAAAGTCGGGTGCGTTTGCCATCTTCGACCACCCGATTCCAGTCTCGTGTGGAGCCACGCGTGTGTTATATATTAACCTTGCTCGCAAATTGGATCCAATTGTTCTTCGTATATGTGCCCTAACTCCTGAATCCTACCCCATAGAATTTTCCCCTACCATTTTATACCTTTGGCCCGAAACATACATAGTACCGTTGGATTTCCACCGATTTAGTACGACACATCATCTTGTCTACCTGCGACCCTCAGTACCATTCCTATCCAACACAACCAGCCTAATTGGTTAAATCTTGAAATAGTTCAATATCACAGGTGAGTAACTGTTGAATTGACTGGGATATGAGTAGTATCTGGTTTCCCCACGGCACCCACAACCCAACATCCACCCCACGATGATCGTCCTACTCATCAGCCTCATCCCTATGTCACTACCACCCACAACGATACTATTGCACTCCTGCCGCTGTCTGATATCTAGTCCTGAAACTTAAGCTGACCCTTTCACCTCTTGAAGACATTTTCCCTTCCACCATGAGTCACCCCGCCCAAATACAACAAACAACTGAAAACATCCACACCATGTTCCCAGGCTCTGATAACGTGGAAAGCATGTCCAATGAAACTCTGCTCGATTCTTATCGGTCGCTGGATCCCTCTCCTACCTCGCTGGAGGACTACAATCGCTCCATGCTACAATACACCCAGCGCCAAATGTCTTCCTTCGTTGACACAGATGACTCCCGTCGCGATAGTCAAAGCAGCGGCAAGAGTGGTCGTAGCATCGCTTCTAGCGGCAGTAATATATCCCGACAGACCAATGAATCTTTCACGCCCGTCAGCAATACCCCTCACATTGCCGAGACTAAGTAAGGTCAGTGGTCACGATATGGCTTGAGGCTAAGTCTGCTGGATATTGAGGCTGTGCCCTGTATCAAGGTATGCGTTTTCCTTCATCTTGACAGCTTCAATGTATTAAAAAAACGCTAACGAAAGTACTTCCAGCGGTCCTGTTCCACCAATATCGCGATCTAGCATCATAATGATACCTAGCATTAGCGAGGTGTTGGTGGCCCTATGGCGACTATCAACAGTCACGTATACTTTCCGTCAATGCCTACTCAGATGCAGAATTTCTGCGGAGTTTTATGAGAATCGCGCGGGCGAGCGTGCCTGCTTTTCAAGCGATATATTGAATGTTTGTTTCGAGTTTTGACTTTTATATGGCCTCGGCTCGTCCGGGTCAACTGCGATATGGTCCTTTACTTTCCCCAGCCCCTTTTCTACCCATTTTTTACTTTCGCATTGCATTTTCGGAATATCGATTGATCCTCAGCATCCTTTCCCCGGGCTTTCAGTGCCGGATTACGCATCGCGTATGCCCCCACTCCAGACCCCTTGGTCGTGAATCATCGCTTCCATCATTCTGCACCCCTTATCACGGAAATACATGGCTTTTCCTTTTCATTATTGTCATATATGACCGTTTGGGGGTTGCTCATGGGGCTGGAGGGCAGTTTACAAACGATAGTTCATTTCCATTTCGAATATTTCTCGAACACTATCCATTCTTCCCGGGGTCTGGGGTAAGCGATCGACTCATCGGTTCTGCTTGATATTCCTGCGGAGGAATACTGGCCTGTACATTATCTGTGTCTTTACATCTTCCCAGCGATTTGTGCCTTTTTTTTTTCCTCCTTCTTCTTCTTCTTCTTCTTTTGACTCTACGTGATGAATCAGCTCTGTCTCCGAGTCGAGGACACTGGACTGTCCCTCGGAGAACTATGCTCTAAAGCTGTTACGATACCACTTAGCCGTGTTGGCCATTGATGAACTGTACAGTTATGCACAACCAATCCGGTGCAATCTTATCTTTCTTCCACTTATATGTGTTTATTTCTTGATTCTTTCCTTTATCCAGCCAACAGTCCAAACTAGATTGGGACCGTAATCCTATAGATGGTTTGATCGGTACATTTATCCCGTTCATGAAATATGCCTCAATATTGAGTTGGTGGCTGAAACAAGGCTTGTACTACTCTGAGACAAATTGACGTCAGCACAAAAACACCAGCCTGGCTTGGACTAATATATTTGGCCCGGGGTGGCTTCTTAGCTTGGTCTAGTATCGTCTTTACAGTCTTCCGACTTTTTCTCAGGGTTTGTTCGGTATATTTTCCAGCTTTTTATTAAATATATATATCCGATGCTTGTACTTTTGGCAGTGGAGACCAGGCAAATAAATATGTGGATAGTATATAGGATATACTAAAGCTGTGAGAATCAAGCCAAATCCGAGATATAAAGGAATAGCAAGAGCTAAGACCGAGGTGGAAGATCTCATACCTAGTGTGGTGAAATTCCTTGTTATCATACACGAGGCGCCATAGTGGTTACCTAGGCAGTGACGATCTGACCGGAACACTAGGATAACACGGGCATCGGTACTACTTAGGCCTTCCCGGTGTAAACATTGTAGAGAGCTAGACTTGAATAGTCTTTGGCACGGCGACCAAATCTTGGTATTGGAGTTGGAGTTGGTATCGGCTTTAAGACTGCCTCTGAAATAGCGTTTCGAGTATGTTTTGGAGGTTTCCCTAGAGTATCGACTGCATAGAGCTAGAGAGCTTGGCCTGGCTAGCTCTATCTAGGTCCGTTGAAAGCCCAAGTGGTCAGATAGACTGGGTCAATCGGTCCGTCCAACGGCCCGGGGCCGCTTTGATCGGCGATGCCCGATGTTTCAGATATGGATTTGTTTAGGCGAGGATGAAACTCAAAAGGACGTGTGTACAATACGTTTATCTAACTCAAATGGGAATGTCTGTTGGTATGGTAATTAGAGAATCGAATAAAATAGGTTTTGTTGGAATACATAGGGTTATCATATATTTGGTGGGCGCAATCTGATGAACACATCTACGCTCACTTTTTATTTTTAACCCCGGACTTATTAGGATTAGATTTTCATGTTTGAAATTAACTGAGACATATATTCAGTCTTGCCAATTAGGAGCGAAGTCCTCTTTTTGTTCAGAAGAACATCTTTCAACTTATGTGTACGATCTACTATTTTGCTGTCCTGATTCATAGATCGAACTCTCTGAACAATTGCTTCTCAAATCGCGGGCTTCCACGAAGAACGTTTTAGTCTTAACTCGAGATCTGGTCGTGTTGTAGAGAAGAGCTGCGTGCTTGAGGCATCCCTTGCATACCTTCCAAGGGGAATCCAATACACCCGTAGAGAACTTATCCTCCCAACGAGTTGTATATTTTATTGAACATGAGGTAGCTTAAAAAGGCCATGAAATTATCGCTGTGACTATGTTACGTTGTATGTTCCAATTGACTCTACTTTATATCGCTGCAAAATGTATATGTATGCCATTTGGACAGAGATAAAGAACAGAAAATACCAACACCAAAGCCCACATACCAGAGCAAAAGGACCCAGAAAGACCAGTAGAAACTATTACCCAGAATACGCGTTCCACATGGTTCAACTCAGCAGCGAATCATCGCCATATCATGCCTTTCTAAATAGAGGGATGAACCCCTTGGAATCCCAGGCTTCGCCCATGAGCCAACCAAAAGCGCCCAAGGGAGGAAGACAGAAGAGATTGCGATAGGCCCGTCGGGGCCTTAGAAAAACCGAGCACTGCATTGAAGGTCAACATCGTGTTCCTGTTTCCTCCCCCGACACACCCATCGACGACCTCGCGACAGCCAACTTGGCCCAGCTCCAGCCATTCAATTTGGTCTCAATTTTGGAGACCAGCACACACTCATTTAATTTCCTGACTCTTACATTGACATTCATTTCGGATCTCCAAATCTCATAGCCATTTGCGGCTATACATCCATTCAGTACTTTTCACACCTACACAACACACGAACGAAAAAGAATCAGCAACGATGCACCTCACAACTCTCCTCACGGGCCTTGTCTCCCTCCTGTCTGTCACCACCGCCATCCCAGTGGGGAACGATATCCCAACTCCCGCATCCTCCGTATCCAAGTCTCTCATCTCACCCTCGAGCTCTGCCTCAGCCTCAGCTTCGGCTACCCCCTCGCCCAACCCCTACGAGGCCTACACATGCCCCGAGGGCCAGTCTAAGTCCTGCTGCATGTCAGTTCAGCAGGCGAGCGGGGAAATCACCAAGGGGCTCGGCGAGTTAGTCCCAATCGTCAGCGGGCTGCAGGTTAGCTCGGCTATATCTTTCCAGTGTATGTTTCTTTCCATTCTTTTTTCAATATAACATCGGAAGACTTGATTATTGTATACTAACTCAATACACCTTGACAGGCAAGAGCATGGCTGAAAAAGAGGCTCCTGATACATGCAACGGGAAGGGTTATTCCCCCATGTGCTGCAGTAACAGAATTGATGTATGTGTTTTATCTTCCCTTGCTTTTCTTTCGCTTTGTGTTTCTGAGAAGAGAGTGGATCTGACTTAATCTTTTCTCCTAGGGTTCTGCCTTCAACTCCTGCAAGTCTTTCGAGGAAGTTAAGAAGACTTACTATGCGAATCAGATGGGGCATAAACCGGAGACGCAGGCTGATATGATCATGGACATTCTCACTTAATTTCAACAACCCGGCCGGTTTGAAGTCCTGTGACATGGGATGAGTGCCGGATGTACTTTTAGGATTGTATACTTGCAATTGATGACTGTGTGCTGACGTGTTTGGGGTTCTTTTTTCTTTTCTATTCGATATTATATGGGCACTTTGCCTGTGATAATCTGGCTTACGGAGGCTACGGTGTGTAATTGCGTATGCCATGTTTCTATACGCGGTTAATTTTTTATCTGTTCTGAATTCTCGCAAGGCTCCGCTATAAATGTTTGTAGGTTGCTTCCTCTGCTAGTCCATCAATAAGAGGCCTATCGAAGTTTACTAGGTTGTACCTATACTTACTGTTGATAGTATCAACGGTGAAGTACTTACTCGAATGCAACAGCAATCAAATGTACTCTTTAATATTGTATTTTAAATCAACATGAATACCCCACTGCGGTGGGGCCGTAATTATACAAACCGCAGCATTGGAAAGGTGCCTTTCCATTTACTCGATTTGAGTCGATTGCGTTTCAAGCATTCAAGCATAACTCTTATATTGTTTCGTGTGCACATGTTCTTTTTTACCACCCGCGCCCGCCCTGGGGAGGAGGGTCCCGCGACGCACCACCCCGACCCCCGGAATAAGGAGGAGGGAAGTGATGTTGACCCTGCGGCATCCCGTACCCCTGTCGCTGTCCCTGAGGCATAGAAGGATGATGGTTGTATGGAGGAGGGAAGGCTGAGGAGGATCCGGGTCCAGGTGCGGGAAAGGGCATTGTTGGCATATACGGGGGAGGCGGAGGCCAAGAACCGTAGTTCGGTGCAGGTACTTGGGCATAGCCATTGCTGGGACCCATGGGAGGATGGGCATACTGTCCATTGAAAGGATGGGTAGTGGGGAAGGAGTTGTAGGGTGCGGGGGGGTGCTGAGATTGGTGAGGGGGCGGGAAGTGTGTAGTGGATGGTTCATGAGGTGTGTATGAGCTTTCCCGGCTGCGTGAGCGCTGCGGAGAACGGTTTCTTGCTCGCGTGTCATTCCGACGATGGAAGCCAGGTCCGTATGCTCGTGATTCACTTGGAGATCGTGACTCGGACTGACTGATGGAGCTGTCGCTGTAGCGTTGGCGCTTGTTATTAGCTCGTGATATACTACTACTGCGACTTCGGTCGTGGCAGCTCTCGGTGTCTGTATCGGCGGGTTGACAGAATTCAAGGGACCATCCATCATAGTGTTCGCCGTCGAGGATGTCGCCTGTGTTCTCACCCCGGATCACTTCCTGGCCCAGCGGATCGATGTCGGTATGTTTATCATCCCCAGGGACTTCCGGGTCGAAGATCTTGTTCACATCATGGAGAAAGGCTTTGAGGGATTCCACTAACTTTGCGTCGGCAGGACCTGCTAGTAATTGTATCGGTTTTATGGTACCAGCTCGAATTGGACTAGTCGAGTCGGGCATAAGGTGAGGATAAATGTTGCCTGCACGAACATCCTGCCACATGGTCGATGGATCTCCATGTGTAGGTGGCATGATGAAAGGCACACTCTTGCCGGACTTTTTGGCCGAGTTTAGCTCGTTGGTCGTATTGTTGAAATCCATGGGGACCCCCATGGTCACGACTTGTCGAAGCTTGTTGACCAACTCGGGATGGAAGTATTCGTGCTCAGACCAGATATCTATGAGATCGTCTAGCCGTCGATGGTGCCGTGGGTTCCTTTGGCGATCACAGTTTGCTGCGTGGCCGACCAAGTGCACGAGATGCAGCTGCAGGGACCCGGTCACTGTGGAGAAGGTTGTCGGGGTATCTATGTGGTACTTGCAATGGTGTAACAGATCATTGATCAAGTAAAGGATGTGGAGGCGTTGGCGCTTTGGTGATATTTTGGATCCAGTGGGCTGGGATGGGGAAAAGGACGCCGCGAGAGCTTCCAGGTAATTGACCAGACCCCTTACCCGATTAGATGAAAATGCAACAAAGCGAAGCAACCAGGATTTACAGGTCTGTAGGGGGGAAAAGCTAGTTAGTAAGGTGGCATGTGAGAGTAACCAGAGGTGACAGCGGTTCAGACCTGAATGTTGGCTTGGGAGCAGTGCGACAGCGCGCGCTCGAGCGAGGTGTGAAACGCGCTTATCTCATCGCGAGGAACAGAAGTAGGATCTGGACGTAGAAGGCAAGCTGCAAGCGCAGCCTTTAGAATAACCACATTTGTCGTCATTGTGGTTAATCTCACGATCTCAAGATCTCACGATATTTTGAGAGAGAGGTAGTTCAAGTGTTCCCTCTTCTCTATTCATGTTCCTTATCGAAGCTTTTATCGCACGTGATCCTGGGTGATTCTATATCCGACATGTCAAGGTGGTTTTCTCCAAACTTACTACAATATGACGACGGAAAAGCATGAGAAAAAAAACACTTACAACAGCAAGTATGGCCGAGTGGTTAAGGCATTGTGTTTGCTCATATAGTAAGATTATAGTAACAACATTTGGAGACATTGGGTTCTACCTAACCGATTTCTATAGCGACCCATATGCCAGAGCGTTCCCCTCTTCAATATATATATTTCATGTAACGTATTTCACTACCTGGAATTTCATGCGAATGCTCTTCTGGTGCTAGAGGTGAAGCGCCATCTATTTTGAAATGAGTTTTGAGAGTTGAAGAAGAGAAGAATGGAGATCGGGTGATCGAACAGGGCCATCGGAGTTTGGCGGAGAGAACCGTTAGGATTTTAGTTAGATTATAGGGACCAATTAATGAGTTCCTTGGAAATGACTGCGGAGTTCAAAATAAATATTTCAGTTCCATGCCTATTACCAACGACGCTCAAGAATATTCAATCTTGGAGGAAATGCCCCCTATGTCCCCATTATCAGAGTCATCGACCCTCAATATTTCTTGTTTCCTACGCGCCCGCCTCTGCCCAGTTATTTCCTATTCGCTTCTACCCCTGTTAGATTATGTTTTCGTCATTGGCTCAAACAACTAGGTTCCGCCTCAATCTTCTCTGCCATGTCAGCTCGCTTTTTTCGCTGGCGCGTCGGACGACTCGGGCCAAGCTTTCCAACGATGAGAACAGCGGAGGCATTTTACTATTGGATGAAGCGAGTTCAAGTGTAGACCAGGAGACTGAACGGGTGATGCAAGATACTGTCCGCTCGGAATTTAAGGGCTTCACCGTGATTGCGGTGGCGCATCGGCTGGAGATGATTATGGATTTTGATCAGGTGGTAGTTATGGATATAGGAAAAATTGTGGAAATCGGAAATCCTGAAGTACTCAAAGGGCTGGCTGGATCGAGATTTGGGGAATTAGTCAACGCTGGGGCAAATTAGTTAGGTATCTCCTTCGCCCTTGCTTTGCTTGGAAGAGGAATTTTGTATAAAAAAAAATTCTTCCTCTTCTTCTTTGTACAAAGGATGCTGAGACTATGATTCTTATATAATTCTTGCCTAGTGTATCTCGGCTCTGATATGTACTGTGATATTTCTACTAGTGGAAGATGAACGACTCGACTGTTTTCATTTCTACTCTGTCTCAATTTCTGCAATGCAGTTGTTTTCCTTTAAGATCAAAAGAGAACGAATAGCTCATAGCTGATACTATTGAATACCAAGTCCGAATACATGGTAGAAACCAGGTATTATACCATGAGCATCATATGACTACGAGTACCCGGCAAACGTTGAAATAGCGGGTTTTGTCATTTTTAGTTAGAGTTGTCAACATTGGTCATCTATACCATACATTGTTTGTACACCAGGTTTCTGTCAAGATCTGCGCAACATCTTGATAAAGGACCATCATTGGAGAGATAGAACGAGCCCTAGATAGATGCATACCAATCACCAGAATTGTAAATTCACGACCGAATCCTCTTTGCTATCGAGCGCCGTAATCCCCACCCTCTTGCCTTGATAGTTTGCGGTCTGCTAGTCCATCCGCCGTAATAGAATGCATCTGCGTAGAGCGAATAGAGACTTGAGTGTTTGGGTGCGTCACGGATGTGTTGATGAGCGTTGATAAGCGTTGATGAACGGTGATGAACGATGACGAGGGAGTTGATGTGCGTTGATGTGTTGTGGTATACTGCCGGGTGGTGAAGGTGAGTGGTCAACGTTTCACGGCCATCGCGCGAGCCCTTTCTGTTGTAGTTCAGAGGTTTGAATTGACTTGTTATTTCAGAGGGAGACATGAGCCTATATATACAACAATGAGTCAAGTTAATTTTCAATCAACTTGGTCGTCTATATAGATACTTCGGAGGTAATTCCGACGGTGCGGCTTGGTTCCTGATCTGCGCCAGCTTCATATCAGTGATATCACAACACCTTCCACCCAGTGGATCAGCCAGGTCACCATGCGAGGCCCTATGACAAAAGCAGTTTGGATTACCCATGGAGGCTGAGCAGCCGCCTCAAAAGTCTGAAGAGGAGGAAGAGCGATGGCAGATGCTGAACCTGGATGAGCACTTCGTTCCAAAGGATCTTTCATCGGCGAAATACTCGGAATGACAAGGAATAATTATGATATCGCGGGTCCTGCGAGGATATTGCTACGTCTCCAAGACAGATGATGTTCCAGATAGGTATGAATATTTAGATAGACAATTCACAGTCACAGATATATTCCCTTCCATCATATCATTTGCAGACTCTGTTCTTGCTATCCAGTTTCCAACTCGCTATGATATGAAGGTGTCGAGGCGATATGAGTACTGGAGTTGTCGTGAATTATTGCGAGGAATGCTCACTGGAGTGCCTTCCACTCGGGATTCGAGGCCAAGAGGCTCGGGGATGTTGTGAGCCTAATGCGTCATGTTCTGATGTAGCCAAACGAGACCAGAATTTGGAACTGACTTGAGCGCTGTGGCGCAGGAGTAAGTCGATTGCTGTTACAGAATCCATGCCGTGCAATTTGTGTTTTAGAGGTTACTGGCCCCCAACTTCAATGGTGGAACCAACGGGAGGGAACGGTCGATCATCGGATTAACTACTTGAATAGGCAAAGTAAGGCTTAGGGCGTTTGTGAGTATTATTGGCAGCCTGAGGGATTGATTGGCACAGTTCAGACCTATTAGATTTCTGAATACCGCTGGATATGTCCAATCTGGACATGTTCCCTTCCGTTCCTTTCACACCCTTTACACCTATGAGGGTAATAGCGCCAAGAGTTTCATTCGCCAAACCAATCAGGCAACTAAATACGGAGAAGCACGATCTGCGGCTGACTGAGCTCTCTCATTCACTTAGCCTCTATGAGCCCTATCATTTCGATCGTTGGTGCTTGATTCCGCTGTCGCGATAAACGGGCTACTAGGTATATGTCTCAAATTCTGTTTGTCTAAATATTCAAACCTAGATGCCTTACATACGTGAGGGCAACAACCAGACCAATATGCGACCAAGAGATACAAGCGAATTCGGGATCGCTATCATCTGCGCTCTCCCACTCGAAGCCGACCCCATCGAAGCCCTTTTTGACGAAGCATACGATCGATTTAGCAAGATATACGGAAAGCAGCCCGGGGACCAGAATACATACATAACAGGCAGAATCGGTCTGCATAATGTCGTGTTATGCTACATGCCAGGCATAGGTCGAAGTCCAGTTGCCAGTGTGGCTTCAAGTCTTCGGATCAGCTTTACAGGAGTCCAACTCGCGCTTGTTGTTGGGATCTGCGGTGCTGCTCCGTACCCTTCAAATCGAAAGCAAATTTTCCTCGGAGATGTCATTATTAGCGACTCGATCGTTCAATACGATTTCGGCAGACAATACCCGGGCGGGTTCGACCGAAAGAAGGGCGTCAGGGACATATTAGGTCGACCAAGCCAGGAGATCAGGGCTTTGCTGAACAGTCTACAAAGACGGCGCTCTCTGTTAGAGTTCAAGGACGAGACTTCGCAGTATCTTGATTTTGAATCCTCATTTGCACATAAGCATTATACCTCGGTCCTATCTTCAAGATGTAGGTGTTTTGATGATGTAAATACTAATGCTATCTGTACGGCGGCATCCGAAACACCATGTGAAATGCTCGGCTGCGGCGACAATCGAGTTCTTCGACGTCGAAGTAACCAAGAGGACCATACGCTATCCATCCATATCGGTAAAGTCGCTTGCGCCGATACTGTGATGAAATCAGCAGAGAGTCGAGATAAGATTGTACTATCGGAGGAAGTTCTTAGTTTCGAAATGGAGGGCGCAGGAGTGTGGGGATAATATTTCTTATTATCATCAAAGGGGTATGTGATTATGCGGACAGTCATAAGAGCAAAAAATGGCAGCATTATGCCGCTGCCGTGGGAGCTTCTGCCGCGAAGGCCTTCTTGTCGACTTGGACACCCACGCTTAGACAAGGTTCGTAAAACTTTCAAAACACAGACTCACTATCTAATCGGTGTTTTATACAAATGCAAATTTAGACTCGTTTACAATTCATGTACCAAAGACATTCCTCGTGTTCCATACTTTATAGGGCGATCAGAAGAACTCTATGAACTCCAAACACAGCTTCTCCGGGTTAGCATCTATGAGCGTATTGTCGTTTTACAGGGTCCGCCTGGAATCGGAAAATCTTCGCTGGCGGCTCAATATGTGGAAGAGTTCTTTGAAAACTACTCGGCCATATTCTGGCTTGATGCCTCGTCCCCATCACATCTTGAGCGCAGCTTTTCGAAGGCTAGAGCTCAGATTCAACAGGAGAGTCATTATGTGGGTCCTATTGAAAGGGTTCACAATGGAATTTTGTCTTGCCACGATTCATATCACCGCTATGCGAGAAATTCATCCCCGGGCATCCGGAGCGTTTGTGCGAGGGGCGAGGACGTCCAAGCTGTTCAGCGCTGGCTTAGCAGAAAGAATAATAATCATTGGCTTCTGATCTTTGACAATTATCCCTCTATGATGGATTCCGATGAGAATGATGAAAGGCCTTTGATCGAGCGTTTCTTTCCTGATGCGCGACATGGCCACATGGTTGTTACAACGAGATCATCTCTCCCTTTAGGCCATACCATTCGACTTGAAAAGATCAAATGTGCCGATGAAGGTCTCAAAATTCTAGCAGGATCCTCGGGAAAACATTATGTTTTAAGAGGTAATCAGCCATGACAAAATTACCTTTTTTCCCTAGCGATACTAACTCTTATACATAGATCCGCACGCGGTGGAACTTGTTTCCCAAATGATGGTCTACCCCTAGCATTGGTGGCAGCAGGCACTTACCTGGCTAAAACAGGGGATAGCTGTCGTAGTTACCTCGATCTCCTCGAGCAAAATTGGTCCCAAGTACAGGAACAGAATCCTCGACTGCCATCCTACGGTGGGAACTTGGATTCTTGCTGGGAGGTTGCATTTGCTGCCCTCAGAGACTCGCCTGACGTACATATGGGTTTCAGCTCATGGGTCATTCTTGACAGCTCGGATGCCTGGTTTGAGCTTTTTGCACGAAAGGGAACCGATAAAATAAAGTTCAATCGGGCGATGATGTTACTTCGCAACTATGGAGTTGTAGAACACGGCCCCATCCCATCTGATGAAACACTCGGCTCTCGTGGGTACAATATGCAAAAGACTTTCCATACCTGGTTGCAAAATCGCTTCCACCAGGTCACACCTACTCTGCCATGCTGGGCAGTTGATCGCATCTTGGATTCTTCTCGAAAGGTCATCGATAGTGGTACATACTTTGAAGGGCTAGTTTGACTCCTTCCACACATGACTAGATCATTTGATCTGATCGCCGCGGGAAAGACAGATCTTTACTCATCCCGTGTGACGCTGAGAAGAGACACAGCTATTCTCAAAGATCTTGCGACAACCTTCAAATTTGCTGGGCATGGCAAGTCGAAGCTTTACAGCCAATTTTTGGGCAGGATACGTTTAAATCCCACAATGGCCCATTTCATCACGGCCAAGAATGTCTTGCTATTCGTCATGCGAAAACTTGAAGAGGCATCTACACAACAGCCCGACCTTGAGGCCGAACCTGACGTATTGGATTATACTACTCTCTGCTCATTGAAATTCGATGTTCTTAGGGCTTTACAGGCGGTTTCATTGTATATACCTCCCTCTTCTTTTTTCCTGAATGAACAGCAAGACCACGAAGATGAATTATGGCAAAGAATTCTTCTCGCGAAACTGGCAAACAGACAAACAGAGGCGCAACAGGAACAGCGTTTGCTGAGATTTTGTGGCTATTACATGACAATCCTGCGATGCACAGCTTTCATATGGTGTATTCTATTCCTTTGGACTTGGATCGAAGGAGTCAACCTTGCTGTTACTAAGGGCACACTTCACGGGGTTGTCATGATAGGTGAGTGTTGGTTCATGGTGTTCGCCTGGACGGCACTGATGGTTGGTTGGAAAAGCCGGCGCAAAACCTTCCCCGTGTATGTTGCTTCTCTTATGATCTTCGCAGGACATTCCGTATATGATGAGGGCCTTGCTGCGTTCAATTGGAGACGGCTTGCCATTGTAGGTGGGGCCGTTTGCACTGTTCCTGTCCTTTACTATGAAGTGATGCGCTAGGTATTGTCAAGTATGGTTGCAGTTGAGAAGAAACACGGATGTGAATACAAGTCCTCGTGAACTGTAGTGAAGCTCCAAGACGCACTGGGTCTACAGCGTCGGCCTTGCAACGCTCTGATGACTTCATGCCAACCGCATGGCCATTTCAAAATTCTCTTTTATTGGTAAACCAGCATCAGCCTCGCTCAGCATGAAACTCGCTAGCGAAGGCGTCAGCTCGGACGAATCCAAAGTCCAAAACCCTATGGATCGAAAGAAACCATCCTACGGCACATTCCGGAAGGCTGTCAGAGTGATAGATGAACAGCCAAAAACTATGGACCATTGTGTTGCCTTTGAAACTAAGCTGCGTCCAATTCCTCTTCCCTGATAAGTTGATCCAACGGAGACTTCATGTATGTGAAAGTTTTCGCTCTCGAAGGTTCCATTGAGAAATGCGATTCCTCAGCATCAACAGCGACCCTTTCAAGACCACGCCTGATGAATTCCAGATGCTGCTTTACAGATTGTACGTCGCCGGTGGCGAGCCATGCGAGATCAGTGAACTGTAGGAAGGCTTGAGCTGCTGAGCGCTCTACTGCTGGGAGTAGTGGAGCGTCTTTTGCTTTAGCTTGTCTGATTGTGGGTTTCTCCATGGAAACTATTTATGCTCTTATATAAATCGAATTTTGGGGAGGATAGTAAAGTAAGGCGTCGGACGTGATGCGTAGTGATCGAGACCGGACTTAGGTAGCGACAAATACCGGGGATCGCGCAATGGCTAAGGTTTGTCTTAGAAAGGGTTCTATAGACGGAACGATTCTAGGCGAAAATTAGTGGTGGATAGCCAGAAGAATCTATGTTGTATGGGAAAAATACAGCCTATTTTACCACTAGACCATAACAAAAACCTCGGTTCCTGTTTAGGGCCTAGGGGGGCCATATCCCAGTCTGACATATACCTATGTTTACCAACATACGGAGAGAAGTGAAAGTGTTCGGAACTGAGTTCCCGGTCTATACCCATATACCCGCTGTAAGTGAAGTCCACCTTTCTACCTAAAAATATCCCCATATTTTGCGACTTAGAACCCCGCGATGGCGTAAGGGAAAGGAACAGTGCCGATCCATCAACCATCTGATCACGGATGAGGATTCCCATCGAGGATCAGGCCATATACCATATGCCCCGCAATGTCCGGGCCACTTGCACGATTACATGGCCTGACTGCTAGTTACTTTCTTTAAAAAGTCTCTCTGGTCATTTAAATTTTATTTCCATACTCTGCTCTACACTCCATTTTACAAGTCTATCAAATCAAAATCAAACCATACCCTCAAGGATTCTTACCACTATGGCTTCCATCCTCGCCTCTCAAATCGCACGTCCTTCCATTCGTCACTTCTCAGCCCACCGTCCTCGTCCAGACTCTCGCGCTGCCCGCGCCGTCGCCATGGGTTGCATCGTTTCCGGCGTGGTACTTCCATTTGTCCCACCTGCTCTGGAAAGTTCGCGACAACGGAGCTCCGGCATCTCTACTAGCGCCAAGTAAGTATTAAAAAATCTACCCACGTTCTATGTCCGCAGTCAATGCGAGCTGGTGTGGAGAAACTAACCTGATATACAGGAACCCCCCACTTTGCTTCCATGCGCGCTAGTCGCCGCAACTCTTGACGACTCGTAATTTTGACGGGACTGTCGGTGCAGGCGCTGATACAAGGCTCAGTTTCCAAGATTGCGATGTGATGCATTATGCCCAAGGAGTTTGGAATTGGCGTTTCTGGTTCTCTCATTTTTTTTTTTTTTTAATACTAGCATTACGGGGATCGTGCTATTACATACATTGTTACTATTGAACGTGGAGACAAGGAGGGAGTGGAGAAATGTTAGACCTGTTCGCTATGAATGGCAGGGATCGATAGACAGCCAGCTTTGTGCGAATTGATCCATTACTGAACTGACTCGGAGCTCGAGTGCAAGAACCAAACGTAGTACACAGTAGATCGAGTCCGAGGAGCTCCCCACTTCCAGATTATCGATTTTGTCCCATAATCCTCTATTTTTCAGTTTGCGTACGGAGTATCCCGTATAAAAATAGTATACAATGCGGCCAGCCGATCAACTAAACCGGTTCCCACTCGGAGGCCGGTACGGCTGTGCCGTTTCATATTTACCCTTCTCCAACACACGGTCGGCCTCGGTCAAGGGTTCGTGCCGGGTAGGCGCCGGGTCGTGAGAAGCTTCGGCACTTGGGGACGCGGCATCATCGGAGGCGTTCTGGAATCGGGCCATGCTCGCTCGTTTCGAGCTAGTGTCGTTGCCCGGGGTTGGTGTGGAGGCTAATTGCGCTTGGCGCTTGTGCTCGTTCTCCATTTGCTTCATTTGCGCCTTGCGCTTGACTTCGGCTTCGAATCGGGCTTGTCGGTCGGCGTTGATCGATTGCTTCGCGAAATAGTAAGCTCCGCCGCCGGCTATACGGGGTATAGTTAGTCGCTTCTTCGCTTGTGAATTACTGGATTTGTTACTGGTACTTGGCCAGCAATCAATAAATTGGTCACATACCCAGGCAAAGGGTGCCCCAGCCCATCCTGTTTAATTGAAAGCCATGTCAGTACTTGTGTTCTGTTTGCGTATGTTTTCAGATAGAGACGTCTTCGCTCACCAGGTAGATCGAATCTAGAAGATGACACAATTAGCAACATTGAGGAGGCATTGGATAGAAGAAATTACCGTATTCATGGCGAACAATCTGGTAGTTGTGAGATGGGTGAAGTAAAACAGAATGAAAAAGGACGCTCTACGTCAGTCCGAGGGAGACCCGAGGTCGGACCCGGGCGGTTACGCACGGACCAAGGACTGTAATTTGTGCCTCAGGCCACTGATTATCAACCAACGCATGTCTTGGAACCTGGGAATTAAGAACGACCGTTGCCTTGATCATCTCTATCACATATATCCTGTCGCTCTAGTCGAAATTCCAACCCCCACTGAAGGCTTCCCTCTGATGACCACTGCCCACCCTACCAACACTTATCCTGTTGTTTCGCAATAAACTCGAGATCTTTTTTCGCCGCCTGTTCATCTGGCGCAGCATCTTGGTTCCATGCTGGCGTGAGATACTTTTAACGGGGGGGCGTCGCTCCGCCTCACCGGTGACTCACCCACTGAGATACTATTTGATCAGACTTTCCGCGCTGTTTCGTTTGTCTTGCTGAACACAGTTCAAACATGCCTCCCAAACGCAAAGCGGCCGACAGTAAGTCTCTGGTACATATCTCCAAACGACAAGTGACTGACTATATCCAGCCGGTCGGTCTAGTGGTGCTTCGAAGCGGGCTACACCAGTCCCCGACATCGACATTTCCAGCGGCGATGAATACTCGGATCAGGAAGAGTTGCCGGAGGAATCCAACTTGAAAGGTACAGTGTGGCAGTTTGCTCACCTGAAATGAACCAGAGACTAAAATTGGAGCATAAAGCGGTCGTCAATAAGTTCTCTCTCGAGGCTTTCAGCAAGAAGAACCAAGTGGAGAAGACAGACCCCAGATTTGGATACAAAGATCTTTCTTCGCTCCCACTGAAGCGCGACCACTACAACCGGCCGTTATGGATCGAGCCCTTGAAAGGCACAATCACCCTTGAGAGTTTCTCCCCGCTGGCACCCCAGGCCCAAGATTTCCTGACCACCATCGCGGAACCGCTTTCCCGTCCGACCCATCTCCACGAATATCGGTTGACTGGACACAGTTTATATGCGGCGGTCTCGGTCGGTCTCAAACCGCAGGATATTGTTGAGTTCTTGGACCGTCTATCGAAAACACCGCTCCCCGAAAGCATTCGGACGTTCATCATCGAGTTCACAAAGTCTTACGGAAAAATCAAGATGGTGTTGAGGCATAATCGATACTATGTGGAAACGACAGATCCTGAAATGCTTCAGCGTTTGCTGAAAGATGAAGTGATTGGCCCCCAGCGAATGGATAATACCGAAGGAATCATCGAACGGGCTGCTCCGAAAATGGGTGGTCTTGTCATTCCTGGAACGAAAGATGCAGCTGGTGTACGAGAAACCACTCAACAGGAGGCTGCCGCTGCCATAGCTAGAGATGAGACCGAAGAAGGAGGGGCCGTGAACTATGGTATTGACGACATTGGCGAGGATGAGACTGAAGAAGCAATCACGTACAGTTTCGAGATTCCTGCTGCTGGTGTCGAAGTGGTCAAGGCCCGCTGCCAATCGATCGGATGTCCTGCCCTGGAAGAGTACGATTTCCAAGGAGACACAGTGAATCCAAATCTGGATATGGATTTGAAACCCGCGGCGCGGATTCGGTCCTACCAGGAGAAGAGTTTAAGTAAAATGTTCGGTAACGGACGTGCCAAGAGTGGCATCATTGTCCTTCCTTGCGGTGCCGGTAAAACCCTTGTGGGTATCACTGCCGCGGCGACCATCAAGAAAGGCACCATCGTTCTCTGCACCAGTTCCATGTCCGTGGTTCAGTGGCGAAACGAGTTCTTGCGGTGGACAACCATCGACCCGGGTGATATCGCCATTTTCACGTCGGACCACAAAGAAAAATTCAAGCGGTCAACTGGTATCATCGTGTCCACATACTCAATGGTGTCACAGACCCGTGCTCGGTCTTATGATGCCCAGAAGATGATGGACTGGCTTCAATCGAGGGAATGGGGTATGATGATTCTTGACGAGGTGCACGTCGTGCCAGCATCGATGTTCCGAAAGGTCACATCGGCAATCGCCGCACAGAGCAAGCTTGGTCTTACTGCAACATTGCTACGTGAGGACGACAAGATCAAAGATTTGAACTTCTTGATCGGACCGAAGCTTTACGAAGCAAACTGGATGGAACTTGCTGCACAGGGCCACATCGCCAAGGTCCAATGTGCCGAGGTGTGGTGCCCGATGACAACCGAGTTCTACTCTGAGTATCTGCGGGAAAGCTCCAGGAAACAAGCTCTGCTATACATCATGAACCCTCGCAAGTTCCAAGCGTGTCAGTTCCTGATCGATTTCCACGAGAAGCGTGGCGATAAGATCATCGTGTTTTCTGACAACGTCTACGCTCTCGAGCGATATGCGCTCAAGCTGAATAAGGCTTACATTTACGGTGGAACTCCTCAAAATGAGCGCATGCGTATCCTGGAAAATTTCCAACACAACGAGCAGGTCAACACTATCTTCCTGTCTAAGATTGGTGATACCTCACTCGATCTACCCGAGGCCACTTGTCTGATCCAGATCTCGTCTCACTACGGTTCGCGTCGTCAGGAGGCTCAGCGTCTGGGTCGAATCCTACGAGCCAAGCGTCGTAACGACGAGGGCTTCAATGCTTTCTTCTACTCGCTCGTGTCCAAGGACACTAATGAGATGGTCTACTCAGCCAAACGCCAGGCATTCCTGATTGATCAGGGTTATGCCTTTAAGGTCATTACCCATCTCCAAGGCATAGACAATTACGAAGGACTTTCGTATGCGACTCCAGCAGAACGTCGCGAACTTCTGCAAGAAGTCATGTTGCAGAATGAGTCATCCGCCGATGTCGAACAGGTCAATGATGATTTGTTTTCAATGCGCTCTGGCAAGAGAGTGACAGCTAAGAAAGGCGGCGCTAAGCGCAGTGCTGCCACTCTTAGTGGTCTGGCTGGTGGTGATGATATGGCCTACATCGAGTACAACAAGAGTAGGAACAAGCAGCTCAAGGATAAGGCTGGACATCACCCGCTGTTCAAGAAGATGGAACGAGACCGACAACGCCGCAAGAAGGAGAGGGAGACTGAGGACTAAACGCTGAAATGCATGTGCTGATTTTGCTTTCCTTGGGCGCGTTAGTCTTTGACCTTTTCTCTTGCACCCCAGAATGACAGATACCCCCCGAATTATCACCAATATATGTTATAAAAACAAATAATAAGTTAAAAAAAATATCATTTGTGCTATAGAGCAATCTAAAGCCACAATCTTAATCATCAAATAAGTCAGTCAGCACCGAACAACTACCTAGCTATCTCTATGTACAACATAGTGTATTTCCTCTGCCGGGTGGGGGTTTACAGGTATGATAATCCCCTTTTGCAGTGTTAGTAATCCCTCGGATTGCCTCTTGATCTATCTTCTGATTTTGAGTCTCCCATATCAGCTAAGATATTTCATCAGAGGTCCCTGAGCGAAGCGTAATAATTATGCCGCAGAGACCGACATGAAAGCCCAATAGCTCAGCAATATAAGCCCTGGATCGTAGATACAGTCGCATAGCTCAGTAATGCATCTGCGAGATATCCTATCGGAGCACTATATTGGGTGCATTGGCAACGTTGCCCAAGTTCGTGATAAGACTTACTCGCTGTTTGATTGACCACACCGACTGATGATGTTGATTTGACTACAAGCTAGATTTTATTTTCCATATTTTTTGATTTGCTCTAATATCGTGTTGTGGTATAAAATATGCAGAAAGATGATAATAAATTGGAAAATTCGCATTTGGTGAAAAAATTGCGTTTAGTGGACCGCTTAGCATGGTTATAACCCGCACACCGGTAGATCAGTAGTTGGATAAAATGACTAGTTTGCTCGGCTCACCTTCCAACTCATTGCCCACAAGTCCGAAACCCCACGTTAGGTCCTCTATAATGAAAGGGGGATTTGCTCTGCCACTCATATGACTGTTTCTTTCTTTTTAAATTGTCCCCTCGTTGGATTCAGTGCATTCCAGTGCAGCATTAACGTAGCGTGATCCTGCAAACATAGCGAATGCATAGAGGACCAAGCATTGCAAACCAATCACAGATTAATGTATAAAGAGAGAACAGGAAGTTGTCTTGGCCAGCTTCCTTAGCCTGCATAAGAGAGTGGAACAACTAACAGTAGATATTAGGGGCTCAGAATGATAGTGGTCATCTAGTATCCATTCAAAAAGGTATCGCTTAATGTTTTCAAGTCCCTGGAGATCTCCTTCGGTCGAGTTAGACTTCTCCTTCTCAACCCAACCTTCAGTATAACCTCCTCCAAAATCAATCAGGTATGCATCCTCATTGACATCAATGAGCACATTAGCTGCCTTCGCATCTCCCCAAATGATATTGTATGAATGCAAGCGTTGAATTGCGTGCGAAATCTGATCAACCCATTTTTGTCGTAGCTCGGAAAATTTGGGATCATGTCCATCAATGCAATTGAGTGTAGCTCCATCACAATTAATATATGATAAAACCAATCCCATGACATACCCATCATCATCTTGGACCACCCCTTCCAGTTGTGATGTGAGAATGGGGGGATCGAATTTAGCCATGCGAATCTTCGAATACGTGAGAATCTCTCTTGTGGTAATACCCATGTCACCCCCATAGACTATCTTGAAGAAGCTAGGCTGTGGTTGCCCATGAATAAATACCTTGTGAGGTATTCCTGGTAGTGCAGCTGAATTTGCACTAATTGGAACCTCGACTTCCCTAGGATGGTAGACAGGAAAAGCAGAGTAGTCGATAGAAGATGGTAAACGGGCCCCGATGAGATGATTTTTCATGTTCTTGGTGTTGCCGAGATAAACAGGAACTAAGTTGTCTCCAATTACCTGCACAGTGTAGTGCAATTCTTCTGCAAACAGACAGTCCTCGAGAGTGTACTTTTGGCTCGGGTCTAGGGGAGCAATTTCGCGAAAGATTGGCAGAAATGGTTGCAAGACCCAATCATGCATTTCATCAAGGGGGTCTTCAAACTCCCCATCCACATCGACCTCAGACTCATCAGGAATCCATTCTGGTTCTTGACGTTGAACGTGTCGAAGATATTCGGCCAGGAGGGCAGACGAGCTTTCAAAGCTAGAAGTAAAAAGATCGATTTTAAAGCGTTTGTTCGAGACATAAACATTCAACTGCGTGTCTGTATTTCTGGTGCTTGATTTAAATGGACCAATATCATAGATGGGTTGCTCCCTTGCCATTATTGGCCGTCGAGGAGTTGCGGCGAAAAGAAAAAAATGAGATAGGAGTAACAATCTGGCAGGTCGAGGGACAGTGTGAGCGAGGGTGTACATGGGACCATGTCATGTGACCATTGGCCTATACCGGCAAATATAAGCATCTTCACCGCCAACCCTTCTGCAATACTTAATTGGAGGAGTTGCAGCAAAGGGGTGGGGCTTAGAGACTGACAAGACGGTATGCTTCTCCGCCTCCCGACTACATATGCGCAGAACAAGTGAGCTAAAACAATCTTTTTTTGCTGTAAATTTGTATGTTGAAGTAGCGTATTCTCTCCTCGATCACTTTAGCGCACGTTTCGACTCGAGGATGATGAAAGCTAATCATTGGTATTTGTTGATGCATATGCACGCCAAGATTAGCGCTCGAGTCAGATTCTGAGACATCTAGATGCTGATGCAAGAGGCCGAAATTATCTGGGCGCTTAGCTTAATATAAAATAAAAAAAACGACGGACTAACCTCCCTTAGCCCTCAATCTCAACCCTAGGTCGCGCGACCGCCGCACTGATCGTGGTAGAGTGGGGCCGGTAGAGCGAATCGCGTGTCGAGGCTTGGCGGCCCGTGTGGTTTTGTAACTGTCCATGAAGTATTTGTCAGTACACGTTCTAAGCGTAGAGAATACTTCCTACCGTACCATTCTTGAATCGAATCCGGGGGATTCGTGGTACTCCGTGTCTTCAGAGGCGAGGATGGCGACCGCCATGATACACTGCCTGACGGATGGCTGTGGGGCAGTTTGTGGGATGGGTTTCGTCATCTGGAATCGGCAATCCTCGACCCGCTTGAGAAATACGGTATGCGTATACGTGGATAACACACCATAGACGGTGTTGTTGTCTCTCATCTGTTCAACGAGCTGGCCGAGATATCTGTTAGTCGTGTGCCTTCGACAAAACATCCAGATGTGTTACCGAGATGAGATTGCACTGGGCCAATGCTGGACCAGCCAGCACCGATTTGGTAGATATCGAGTCTAACAGTCAAGAACGTCTTCAGCTCGATTGGTAGAATGGTATTCCGATATTGACCAGCGTGAAGAAGAACGACGTCAGGAATCACGTCAGTCGGAGGAAGCGCGGCTTGACGGTCGTCGAATTGCAAAGGGAGCCCAGCGGTCTTGCACGCTAGAGAGACGGCGTCGCAGACATGCTTGTAGAACCGCCCGGTGAGACCAAGTTCACTTCCAACCACGTAGGTGTTACCAGTGACATCCATGCACGGGACAAGCCCAACCAGATCAATGTTTCGAATTATTTGATGGACCTCATCCTTAAACAACGTCTATTCATAGAATAATCTTACCGAAATAATTGTCCGAGACTCTGATGGGCTGTGGGTCCCATTCTCTTGAGTGAGTATCGGTAATGGTCGGGCTAGCAAATCACTCGCCGTCTCTATGCCAGAATTCCGGGGGTGAGAAGTAGCTTGAGTGACGACAGGGTTTGTAGATGAGAGCTGCATTTTGTCGTCCTCTACTCTAGGTGGTTGGCAGTAGAGGCTTTGAAGTGGTGGTCGGTCCGCTGGTGTTGGCGTGGCCTTCATCGACACCGGAAAGCCCTCGAGATCGCTCGGCAGCTTCAAAGCTAGACGGGTAAATTCATTAACGGCTTTTCTCAACGGGCGTTGAGATTCAAGGGCCCAGTCGACCGGGTAGCGAAATGATACTGGTAGGGAGGGTTCGGCATTCGGGACTGAAGTAATGAGTCGAAGACGTCCCTGTGTGGATTGGACTGCTCGGAAATGTAAAAATTCAATTGATAGGCGATGTCGACAACTCTTTGCAAAGTCCGATTAGTTGCCATGATTGCTGATTGAGTCTGTCATGGGAGATGGAAAAAGAATGTAGAACTGGGTCAACTTAGTTACGCCACCAGCCCTGGTGCTCATATGGGATTACATGAGTGCGAAGGGGCAGAGCGGCCAAAGGTCAAATGCCTGATTTTATAGGGATGATGCCTTGATATGCCTAAATTATATACCGTTTTCAACACCGCTCTATACCGTATACTATAAATTGAAGGTATTCCTAGTTATACATACCATATATAAGAGACTTTGAAATCTCTATATTCCTCAAAAATAAAGCTATTCCTACTCTACAAATCAACAGTTTCTTCGAATCCCTAATATCGAGAACCGTCCCAAACGGTATAAACTACCTCCTTATATTAATCTTAAGAGATTTAGCCAGTCGTAATAGCTTTAATGCCTAGAAATAGGCGTATACGGTGATTTATATCGTAGGAATAGCTTTATTCCTATAAACTACCTACGGTCCTATAGATACTTTGCTTATTAAAGCTACCGATTGTAATTCAATCGATGTAAAATAAGGCATAATTCAGGCATATTCAGGCATCAAGCCTATAAAATCCGGCATTTGACCTTTGGCCGCTCTGCCCCTTCGCATAAGAGCATTTGACCGCTAACTGATTAACTGACCAGGCCAAAAGATCATAAAGACAAACAGAACGCCTGTTTGTCTCTCCGGAGGTATATATACTAGACCTTAACATCTACAAAGGATACTGTCTCGCCTGATATTTCTCTCTTTTCCTTTACTCTCCGTACTTAGTATTCTCGTTTAAATTGCACTCTTTTCCTTGAAGAACTACCGGTAACATAACACTAAGTACCACTCCTAAATCCAACGAAGCAGGACGACCGTATAGACCATATTGCGATTGGTCTCGGTCCCGCTTCACCCCACTTCCCGTTCCTTAGCATTACATAGCCAAGACTAGACCCGAACTCCGGGCCAATCAAGATGACCTGTAGTAAGCAGCCGATTGCTATGCTAGATAAAGAAGAAAGTAATAAATAGGAGATAGTCGCTGCTTATAACCCAAAGACCCTGACAACTAAACCGATAGGACTAGTTGATGGTAATAACCTAGATACATGGATTTCTCATAGCTTGTTAGGTGCTCGCCGGTACATAACAGGTCTCTTGCGTTGGTCTTATAAGACAGTAGGCACCATTAACGTATAAATAATTTGACAGAGCTAGTTACCCCATAGGTAAAAGGCTCTAGTTTTACTTTTACACCTAGAATATGAGGACCTGTGGAATTGTTAACTAGTTAACCATAAATTGCTAACAAAGTAGATATAGAAATACAGAGAAGTTGAACACGGTTGGTTGGACCGGTTAGTACCGACAGAGGGATGACACCTAAGGCATAAAGCACTAATCTATATGTGCTCGTTATCTCTCCGCACTTCTCTTCTCTCGCACTTCTTCTCTCTCTGCTCACCACAATGTCTCGATCAGGAGATTTCGATCATCTGTGTAGTACTGAAGTCAGGCTCGAACAACCTTCCTTCTCACCCAGTGTCACGTTTGTCCTCGATGATGAATTGTCTGAAGAATACCAAACCATGACACAGGAAGAATTTGAGGAAGACCTCGGCCATCCGTTTGCGGCACTCAAGTTCTCATGTCATAACCTCTTTGACGCCCACTCAACATGGCTTTATACGGCTCTACTATCAAAGTCCGATTGATGGTACTATTTCTTGCTCCCTTCAAGTCCGAGCCCACCAAGCTCTCACTCAGCACACCCATGCGGAAGTCAAGGCTCTCATAAGTCTCGATCACAAGAACTGCACTGCAGTCCCAAAGTTACTTGCTTATGGTGATCGGGTGCAAGGTGTAGGAGATTACGTCCCTGGAGGCTACATAAATTATGCCGCGTGGACGCGAGTGGCCGGTGAACCGATTAGCTCCGCTTCTTACTGGGAACTTGACCTCGCATACCGGGTGGAGGTGCGTTCCGCTTTCCGAGCTGCTTATAGGTAAGCTCATACTCCCTTTGTGTACTCTAAGACAGCTACCAGTACTAATATCAAGAAGAGAGCTAAAAAACGATATATGGGGACCGGGACTTAGCTCTCTGAAGAATCTCATTTATGATGAGGCCACCAAGTCTATGTAGGTAGCTATGACAATCTACAAACATCGATCATGGTGCTAATGTTTTTCAAACATATTTCTGGATTCCGTGATCCCGATACCTTGGAGCCTGAACCATTCTCCGATGTGACATACGCAATTTGGAGATTGGTGAAGCCAGCTCGCAGGCTGGACTGGATATGTGATAGCTCTGACTGGAAATGGTGACGAACGTGGGCGTACATCCCGCCCGAGTTAATGAAAATCCCCCTTCTCGCAAACCGAGAGATCGTGCCTCACAGTATTTACTTCCTTGAGCATAGCATCTGCTAGTTGACGTTTTATCCTTCTTTGTAATAGCCAAGGAGGCTGCCTCCATGGCCATGATGAAGAGGAGGTCGCTCGATGTTACGAAGGTTTTGAGATTGGAAAGCGATATGACCCTTCAAGCCCGTCAATGAGAAACTTGATGCTGACAACAAGGATCTCACTTGTGTCCGCGCTCGGGATTGACAAACAGACATACAAGTTGCTACGTCTGTTGCATGACACAACTACAGGGTTATCACCTTACACAACTCCCATGAAACAGCAACCCATATAAGCAAAGCTGTAATAGCTAACCATGTCTTTTGTCTCTTTGGCTCAAGAGTCTCAGTCCGAGGCATGACCACCGTTGCAACTCCCCGCTCTACGCTCTTCACCTTGCACGTCAGTCACTTAGGCCCAGAATATCCAATATTATATGTCAACACTGGACACATTCTTGCGCGTCCACTTGAAAGCTTGCTTGGCTTTTGTAGCATTTTGTCAACGGAGTCGACCGCATGATCAATCCCAATGTCTCACCCTAGTGTACTAAAATGCACATACTCAGCCGTGAGGGTATAGCACACACACTCGAGAACCATGTCGATAGCGGTGGCCGTTGTGGCAGCATTTTCGCCATGGTCTCAAACATCTGTTGGGTGATATCCACGACGGCGACACCATCCGCGCCGTGATCCGCCGTTATAGCGACAATTCCGAAGACAAAATACCGACTGCTACGCGATTGAGTCCTACACCACAGGCCGAAGATATCACGCAGACATACAAGAATGCAGATCTGAATCTGTCAAAAACAGGTTACATTCATTGAATGCCCACCCAAGTTGGGTTCTGCGGAAGTCTAGTTCTATCGGTCGATAGTGAAGTGAGATAGCTCCGTTTAAAAGGTAACATATGGTGTTTTAGTATCTCTTTCAAATTACTGGAGATACGAAATCTTTAGAGCTGATTGAAATTTTAGAGAGATAGTGGATAAATAAAGAATAGAGTTCCAGTAGATTGACCATTACCTGGCGAGCATTGTGGTGATATTCGGTCGCACTTCACCTTCCTGGCGCGATAGCGCAAACAAGAGCTTTCACCCTGTGTGGTAGATGACATGGTGCAGCATCAGTAGCCTGATGCACAAGCTGATAAAAGCGGGGAAGACCAAGGTCAACATGATAATTGTACCTGAGGTTATTGGCTCTCCGGGGCTGTTATCCCACTATCTTGACGACTATCAGAAATGCAGAGAAGTTACCAAGTGATTGGCTACATTGGTTCCACCTTCCAGGAGGTCGAGATTACAGGATCAGCATGCTCGGATAGGATATTTATGAGATCAAAGTCATGACTGTATCTCAAGCAATACTCTAGCAATAATGACCATGAAGCAACCTCAAGTCCAACGCATCGACCGAGCCAACGTGGCCGATATCATTCAAGCCATTATCGACAATGGCTGCTGTGTGATCAAGAACTTTACCAGCGCGGAAACAATAAATAATGTCAATGCGGAGGCTCAACCTTACCTCGATGCGGATAAACCATGGAAGGCAAGTCATCCTCCAACCTGGATTGAAACCGCCATGTACCCATACTAAATATAAACAAAGGGCGATCTTTTCCCACCGGAAACTCGGCGATGTGCCAATCTGATGGGGCGGAGCAAGACAGCCAGAGAACAATGGCTAGTCGATCACCTCGTCCGTACATTGACCGCCAAATTCGTGGATAAGACAACGTCAAACTTCTACGGAGAAACCAAACACACCTATACGAGCGAGGCAATCTGTTCGATCGCGATGACATTTGACGTCGGACCAGGTGCCAAAGCGCAGCGACTACATCGAGACGACAAGAACTTCCACGTTGATCACGAAGATCAATCTTCCACGGGTTATCGTGTAGGTTCGGATGTGATGATGGCATTTATGATCCCCGGAGTCAAGACTACCGTGGAGAACGGTGCTACTATAGCCATTCCCGGTAGCCATCTTTGGGGCTCTGATCGAGCCCCAAAACTACACGAGGCGGGGCCTGCTCTTATGGATTTAACCGACTGTTGGGTCATGTTGGGCGGGTTGTATCATGCCGCAGGAGCAAATATCACCCTGGATGAGCGGAGGACCTTACATGGGATGTTTTTCACTCGCGGGTTTTATCGACAGGAGGAGAATATTTATCTGGCCAACTCTGCTGAGGAGGTTCTGAGCTGGTCACCAGAGGCTCAAAAGGCCTTGGGGTATGAGTTATCAAGCCCAAATATCGGGTTCGTGGAGTTTAAGACGCCGATACAGTACCTTCGGGGAGCAGAGGTCGATGCATTCGGTGATTTCGACCCCTCACAAGAGAAGGAAGCTTGATAGAGGGGAATATTGATAGATAGATACCTGGGTACATATGTAGATAGTGAACGATACGCAAATTGATAAGATTGGACTTCCAAGGCTGTAAGGTCTCCCCACGCAGTCTGATATGTGCTTTGATTATGTGGTTATCACGTCCAAAAATACCCCAGATTACCCGCTGACCATAGCAGATTTGGTCGATCCTGCTACTGCTCTCGTTCAGAATGGGTTGAATATTGAAACGCCATACCTACAAAGGTACACCGACAGTATATGTCTCTCTAGTGTAAGCCTGATCGGACCCCATAAAACAGCACCAGCTGTCATTGAGAATGAAGGCCACAATTGGCTTATTATCGGTGTTTTCCAAAATCCACACTTGCAGAAATAAACGGAGGATGATATAGCTCATCAGTTTGGCAAGCTGTACTGGAGGCGGGAAAACAGATTGTACCTTCATTCCTGATGTTCCATTCCATCGATGGCAGAAGCTGGCTTATAACGTATGTCTGAATCCCATTTGTGCAATAACAGGATTGGACACAGGACGCATTCGGCTTGCGGAAGACACTGTGTCCACTGTGCTGCGACCTGCAATGCAAGAAATTGTGGCTGCTGCAAAGGCTGTAGGAGTCATTCTTCATTCGGGAATTGAGGATCGAATGATCAATATAGATCCTTTAACCATGTATCTCCGGCCAAGCATGCTGGAGGATGTTCAAAAGGTATGATCTAGTTGCATTGCATCTTACAAGGTATCTTACAACGAAACCATTATTTTAGGGCAATCTTGTTGAATTTGAGACGCTCGTCGGGGAGCCGTTAAGAGAAGGCTTATCATGCGGGGTGTCGATGCCAACATTGACAGTCTTATATCGCCCCCTGAAGGCTATGCAGTGGAGGTTGAAGAAGCAAAGGGGAATAATCGACGTTCCCGCAAAGGGCGAATACCTCAATGATGGCTTGAAATAACCCAAATATCACATATATAGATGTACTATCCATCAATTCGAGATTGATATTGACCAAAAACCACACATAATTGAACTAAACCATGAGTATGATACTTTTTGATTTTTGTGAAATTGATTCTCCGATGCTCCATTATCGCACCATTTCGGATCAATCAGGCCAGGGTATTATGAGCAATAGACAACTTTTTAAACGCCATCGAGCTGTACAATATAAAATCATCAGTTGAACGGAGAACTACTATCTCTTGGCATAAAAGTGAGGGGTTTCCTCTCCAAATATAAATACGATGCGGGGAACGTTTGATCCTACATTCTGTCTTCACAACCTTGGAACATTATCTGATTACGTTCAATCCAAAAGGAATAACTATATCGCATAATGTCTGAACAACAAACTCCCATCCTCGACCATATCGTCCTCCTAGTTTCCCATAAAACACTCCTCGGAATCTCCGAACATATTGAGGGCCAATTCACCCTGGCACCAGGTGGAACCCACGCCGATGGACTCACCACGAACAAACTGATTCTACTCCCGGATGGCGTTTACCTTGAAATAATTGCCTTCTTCGACGACATCGACCCCGAAAAACGCCGCAACCATCGCTGGGGAAACGAGAAAGAAGACACTATCGTCGACTGGGCTTTCACTTTGCGATCGGAAAACGACTTTAGCGCCGTCCAACAGCGATTCCAGGGCGCTGAGACCAATGCTTCCTATACAGACCCTATCGCTGGCGGTCGTACCAAACCAGACGGCACCGTGCTGAAATGGGCGGTTTGTGTCCCTAAAGATAGTGAAGGAAAAGTCGTTCCCGGATCTCTACCCTTCTGGTGTCTGGACAGAACACCTCGCGCAAACCGTGTCCCTTATGAGGTTGAGCCAAATCTCGCCCAACATCCGAATGGCGTGCAGGGCATTTCTTACGTGTCGGTGCAAGTCCCGGATGGAGAGGTGTCAAATTTTAAGGGTGCATATGATGCGATATTTGGTGGACCCTGGAAATATGAGGTTCCTTCTGGCTTAACGGCCAGCAAACATGGGGTTTCCCTGTCTGGAGGGGATGCGTCCATTCGGCTGGTGTTTAATGGGTTGAAGGAAGGAAAGGTTGAGCTCTTACCTGGACTCTTCTTTGACATTGAGAGATTGGACTCGCTGTAGCCATGCCAAGGGAGCAATGGATAGACTAGAAATATTGGTTATACTGAAGAACACTGGCTGTGTACAGTAGATGGCTATAGTAGCAAATTATTGTAATATATTAACTTTCCGGATCCGTTGGGATCTACTATGGTATCTATGGAATGAAGCTATAACCGCGGGGTTCAACTCCACGAACCAAAGTTCCTGTAAGTTTCTAGACCTCTTAAACTTCACCGATATAAGATCAGCTATGGAAGCAGGTTAATAGAAGCCCGTAAAAAACCAAACAGGTGAGTCGCGGAACTGTAGTCAGGGAACCCATCTTTATGAACGTTAAGATATAAATATCTTATAGATATTAAAGCAATAGACGGTAAGAGACATCCTTTGGCCTGCGCTGCGCCAAATTACTAATATAGGTTAGGGTCTAGGGTAGTGGTTTTGAACCACACCTCCGATTTAGGGCTAGCTCTGATTGTGACCTATTTCTCTAAATCTCAAAGAAACACCAATTCAGCCCCGACAGCCTAGCGGTTTAGGGTCTGTTGCATCGGTAATTTAGTGGTAGAATGCCTGATTGCAAATCAGGTTGTCGCGTGTTCGATCCACGCTCGGTGCTCTTTGAATTTGTTTTTTTTGTCCCCAAGGGACGCGTCGCCAAGATTTGGCAGATACGGGCTGGCCCATTATGCTGACCGATTGAAACCGATTCCTATGACGTGTTGATCGCCACGGAAAGCCGAAAGTCCGATTTCTCCGCTTTTCATGTTCAGCCATAGCTCGATTATTCATATTGAATAATTGTACGACTTTGATAGGCTCCATTGCTGGATTGGATTTCCTGTAGAACCGTCTGGCTACTCCGACAGTTGTACGGCTCCAATTATATTACTATACACCGAATGGCTTGAGCTATATAAAGGACATGCTTCCCCGCGTTCTTCAGCATCACAAACATCATTTGTTCATATCAAAACCTACAACTACAAACAATTCTCGGCTTCTCTTGCTGAATAGTACTCGCTGCTATTTCAGTCTACGTCCACCGTTTCAAACTGCTGTCTCTTCGACTTCAACATTTCCACCTGTTCTACCCCTTCCACGACTAGCCACGAAATACAGCTCGTATACTTCCAACACCGGGAACTTTTCCCGCGTGACTTCATCCAAAATGGCCACCGCTACTAAGATTAGCCTTTCGCCGGTGACAGATTCGGGCATTTATAGCTCAAGAGTGAGGGAAGACACTGCGCGGACCGTGAGTGAAATGTTGCAGGAAGACTTGGATACCCACCATGTCTTCTTCAACGACAAACATTTCCACGGTATGCCCTTTTCAGGCGAAATCCCCACTAAGAACTCTCTCTAATAAAGATACAGATCATATACCTCATCAGCTCCTTAGTATCTATGCTCTTGGCGCAGCGCCAGAGGATATCAAGGCTTGCTATGAACGGAATAAGACTTATCAGAAACCCGCCCTTCCAGCGAACCAAGATGTCATCCAATCTATGTATGACATCGCTAAATTTCAAGAGTGTTTTGGGAAGGAAGAACATTACCCTAATTACCTAGCTTTCTTCCAGCACGAGATCGATGCAAAGGGCGTCGGTGAGGTTCTGGGGGAGTATGTCTTCGCCGGGGATGAGCGAGCTGAGAGCATGATGTGTCGCATGTTTGGCGGTAGGTATATTATCTAGCTATACTGGATTGTATTGATGCTGTATGTTCCTCGGGCTGATCAATTCAGGCCTCATCCATCCGCTCATCCAGCTCGGGTTTGGTATAGAGTTCAACCAACCTGCCATTGTAGCGCAAGGCCTTGCCCAAACGGCAGTTCATGATGACTGGCTTGGTCGTGCGTTCTTCCTACCTGCGGAGAAGATGGCTGGCGATATTGGAAAGCGGGGACAGAAGTCGACTCTCCAGCTCATAAATGAGATGCGGACAGACAAGGCTCTTGTTAAGAGTGTGCAGTGGTCCGACAGTAATAAGATCATGGATGGGGTGCTTCATAGAGCACCGGAGCAGATGCTGAAGTATGCTTCTCAATTCACCGTGTCCGAGGATCAGGCGGAGGAGCGGTTAGCGGATATGATCAATACAGTTGGTAAGTCTAGCCTTGGAAGGCCTAGATGGTATTATCTGAGGGATGTGAGTGAGGAGCTATTGCTGAATTCATCTCAGTCTACTATACCAGTGCCGCGCAGCGTCCGACCAGAGAGATGAGACTTGATTTCTTCTTTATCCATTGTGTCAACTCGTCTATCTTCTTCTCTAAGATTATCAACCTCCCATACTTGAATCAGCGATCCAAGCTGCGCATGTTGGAATGGAAGGGACGCATCGATCTCCTGATGTATACTTCACGTGGAACTCCGGACCTCCTGCTTGATGAGGTGGCCAATTATCCCCTGAAGGAGGACTGGTCACAGATCTTCGCGCGAAGCATCACCCATCCCGGTGATGATGGACATCTAGCCAAGCTAGCACGGGCTTTGGCGCATGGCCAGAAAGTCTGCCGGGCATATGAAAGCAAACACCCCGAGATGCCGATCAAGGGAGATATGTGGCTTAGGATTGGGAATATAGGTAAGCAGCAGGGCCTGAGATTGCAACTTTTATTTTTACCTGACTAACTGCTCAACAGCCGTTGACTCGACTGTCGAGGAGGGAGATAGACCGATGTGGGTTCGTTCTACTGGATTTGATGAAGCATGGGAGCCCCAAGGACGAGCGCATATGTAAGATGGAGAACACGTTATCTTCATGAGGATGTTGTGTTATTTTCTTTCAACCTTCTAGGATGGTATCATTCATTACTAAATTGATATAAAACTATAAATTCGAAGAGCATTGTACGAAGTCGTGTAGCTGTTATGGTTCAACCCCCGTTTTGGGGGATAATATCTGAATGGCTTCTTTTAGCACGTCAGAAGAATACAAATACCTGCCCATGATTCCAACCTTCGAAGGTTCGGCTAGCATCGCAGGGTTGCACCATACGAAGCTTTTGATCCTATACAAACCCATGCATCGCCAAATTTTTGTCCCGTTTACCTGTCCTCTGGCCCATGTATAGAGATGGAGCTTTTAATGGGATTATAGTTCTAACCACCTAAAAATATGGGGACACAGTATGAATAATTTACATTACACTGTATAGAGCGGTTCCGAAACCGATGCTAATCCAGGCATTCAGGTATCAAGATCCTTCCACCTAAATTGAAGCTACGGCTTTTTAGACCTCGGGAGCGATGACCGATGAAAAGTTCTTTATCCAATGATAGCCCTGGAGAGTGCGTGATTATTACATAGAATGTGGCGTTGGGGAATCAGGCATGTACGGGCATGCCAAGCCGGCACACGTTCGCTGTGCGCCAACTTAAAATGATGCTACACGACTTGTTACTGGTTCCTTGTTACTGGTTTCTTAAATGTAGAACTATGCAATGATACACATCAGTCTATCTTGTTATTAGCTATTGATTATTGTGTAGTCAATCTGATTTCACCCTGGGCAGATTCGAAAATTCAACATATAAAGTTCTCTTTTGTTCTCTTCTCACCTCGAGAATTCTTGAAGTTCAGTCCAAATCATTCAAAACATTTCAATATTTTGCCCAGTGACCCATCCTCCTTATTACAGTCTATTATCTTGTGACAGACCTTGCAATTCAATGACTTACCCTTCGTTCAACCTCCCCACGGACATTCCAAATGTACCTGAGGAACTTGACTGGCGTGCTGATTTGAATCATCCTGAAAATCATTTCCCTCATCGGTTCCACCCTTCAACGACTGTTGGTGCATCTGTGTTCTCTGCAACCCATTTTCTATACAATGATATAGCACAACATCCCTCCACGCCACATAATTCCAACTTTCTCATACCTTCCGCCTCAACTCATCTGAATTTACATGACTTGGAGCTGAATACTATTCGTTTGTTGGTCGAAGATACTAGCACTATGAAGCCCTTGTTAGAAGAGTCAATAAGCCCTAGACACAATTCTACTTCCACTACTACATTGGCGCCTCCTACAGAAGAGGAACCATCTCAGATAAACATCAATACCAAGAGACGTCCTCAGGGCAAGGTGCCCTCTGATCGTGTCGGAATATGTAAACCGAAAAAAGAGTGAGCAATCTACTATCCAAGCAGAGAGCAAGGCTGTCATACCATTACTTCACTAACCATGTTATTTCCGTTTCAGGGAAGTCCCTGGCTCGTTCCACTGCTATTGGAAAGACTGCAAATACGGCCGTGTCTTCTCTCGAAAAGGGGTGTTGATGCGTCACATTGAAACTCAGCATGTCTTCCCGCGCTCAATTGATTGTCCCGTGTGTGGCAGATTCTTCAGTCGGAAGGATAACATGACGGAACACTTGGGTAGAGTTCATCACAAGCGCATTTAAGACGAGACTTTGAGTTGGTGAAGAGCAGTACTGCGTTTTATTTTGCAATGGGGTATCATTTAGGATTAGGGTGAAACATTGATTGAATAGGAAATGAAGAATTAGAATAGGGATGTTAGGTCATTTAGGTGTTCTGCTGCGGCTTCTTCAACTTCGGTTATATTGGCGACGAATTCTTCATATCACCGATGCTAGGATCATGGGCGCCTCGAGTCTTTCGTCTTCAACACATACATCGTAAAAGGCATATTCAATGGAATGAGCATGAAGCCACCTATCGAGGATCTACTATGCCCAAGTCAACATGCCGGCTTAGAGCCATTTAAATGTCTGTTCATTTATGTCGGAATGGCTTGCCAAAGGATGCGGAACCTAATAGTTCTCCGATCTTTCCCTAAAATGTATTATTTCGATTCTTATCCCCATACTTCGGAGGTTGAACTATGGTTCCCGCTTTAGCTGCTGTGGGGCTTTAGCCTTGCAATGACGCCAGCGGCTCAACGCATTGTGTTTATGTAGAGTTAATATGTAGGATGTTTGTTATACAGTCCTTGAATTGAAGTAAATTTAAATGGAAGAAGAACAGAATATTATATATTGTAAAGTCACACTGCGGAATAGGGCACATGAAGAAAACGAAACATTGAAAAAAAAAAACCAGACAAAAACAAAAATACATTGGGATCACGTGAAATAGAGTGGGGCTCCCCAACATGTATTCAACTCTGCATCTTTTTACCCTTTTCCCTCCATCAGCCTACCAAGGTAATATCTATTGTCATTCTCTGATCTTATTATAATCATGGGCAACGAAGACATCAACCGCAAGGACGTTTCGACTCAGAAAGACTGGCCTGATGATGAGAACAACCCTTTCGTCGCCTTCCGGCGCTACGCCGATGAACAGGTCTCCACCATGCTTCAATCTATCACGGGCCTCCCTTCGATGGTAACACAACCTCACAACGGTCATTGGGATATATTTGCGGATAATCAAGGCTATCAGAATCAGATGGCTCGTCAAAGAACCAGTGATAATACGGACAACAGCAGCTATCCAACAGACCAAGACAGTGGAAGTGGGTATCCAGGTAACCGAGATGGAGATGATCCACGCAACTACGGGAGTAATTCACGCCCACGATGGCCTGAGAATGACGATTCATGGAAAAAGTGGTCTAATGGACCATCTGACTTCTTCGGCCTCGATTCCTTCTTCGACCGGTTCTTCGAGGATCGGTTCTTCCCTTTCGCATCGCAACTCCTACACTCTGGCCACAACCTTCTTCTCCGGGATATGTTTGAGGACACTGACTCGCCAGCCTGGCCGATCGGGTATATCCTGTTCAGCCCATACTCGCCTCTCCACCTAGAACGTCAAGCACAATACCAAGCGCAACAGGAAAAGGGCGTTTTCTCATCTCTCATGTCATCTTTGCATCTCAACTCCGACCGTGACCCTTCCGAGCCACAGTGGCGAGAAGCCTTTGAGGATTTACTTCGACTCGAGAACGATAAGTCCATGCTCGATCGCAATGCATCCATCACGAGATCCGAGTCCGGAAAGGACTGGCTACAAGGGCTTGTTAAAAGAGGTAGCCTGGGAGATAAGTGGAAGTATGTGTATGGCAGAGATGGCCAGCCTTGGTCTGGCGTCACGTTCTCTGGTCGTGCAGCCCCAGAGCAGGAACGGTCTCCGTCTCGATCTCTACCCGAGAAAGAGAAAGAATCTACAGATATGAAGGAAGCTGAGAGCGAGCTGGACCTATACGAACGCTTCTTGCATGACATTGAAAACCGCGAACGTGAATTCTTCCGCGGCGTCTCCGAAAGCCCTCTTCTGCGTCTCCTCCTGGAGGAGCGACGTGACCAACAGGAAGAACTTGAGAAATACAGGCGCAGCCCTCCGAAGGCCGAAGACCAACACAGCCATGAGGATAATGAGAACTGGATCGATCTTGTGTCTGGCGGGAACAAGAAATCTGTTCCTGAAACACCCAGGGATTCACCCACCCAAATTGACGCCAAACCAACTGGAGCTGTCTCGGAACCAGCGCAGCCTCGTGTCATCTCCACTATGACCCGAACGGAACGCGTGCGGCTTCCCGATGGCTCGGTTGAGAGCAAGATCGTCAATACAAGGCGTTTCGCAGATGGCCGAGAGGAAAGTGACGAGTCTGTTGAGGTGTCTCGTCCCCAGGAAGGTTTGGATTCTAGACCTGAGTCCGACAAGCCGAAGAACGGTTGGTTCTGGAAAGACTAAGACTCCGTTTGGACGATTTCTACGACGAACGCCAATCTTCCCTGGCTATGACCTTTAATATGACCTCCTTTTATGCCCGAGTCTTCAGCGTGTTTCCTCAATTTACGATTTGCATGTTCCACTGTTTTTCGGATGGCGTTCTGTTTATCTCTTCGCTATTTGCTTCCACACCTGGTTTCCAGTCACCTGGCTTTGTGTACATTCGATTATTGCTCTTCTCATGCTGCATGGAAAAGTAAACCCCAGCTAGTTTGATATCTCATAGGAAATAATTCAAGCATTCACATATTATCCAATATTAATTGCCATGGATGGAGCCTTTATTATCAAGCAAGACTTGAGCCAGGCACACAACACATCTTGAAACTTCTAAAACGCACAATTTACATCTAATCAGCTTTAACACTCTTCTTCGCTCCCTTACCAGTAGTCCACCCCTTAGATTCCCAGTACTTGACATTCTCTTCCATCTTCTTGTATGCCCAAGTAAACGGCGGGTCTATACAACCAAAATTAGCACAACCCACAAACGACAAACCGAGAAAAACATACAAAGGAACTGCCTCAAATCATGACGATTATCTTCAGGCGAGTACTGCTCAGCATGGTAGCTAGGCGTAAGAACAGTCATCTTGTGTCTGTTGATAGAGTAGTAGTAGAAGAAATGGCGAGTCTTCTCGTAAATCTCGCGCGGACTATACTCGTTACCCCACACGTGAAGAAGCTTCTCGTACATAGAGTAAGGGCCTAGCTTGGAGACTTTTCTCAAGTACCCGAAAACGCCTAGCTGCGCGTACGTAACGCCCATATCGGCTTCGTCGGATTGAACGTAGTCGTGTGTGATGGGTTCTAGCTCGGCCGTGGGCGTTGCGTGGATAAATTCTTCGAGGATTGGGAGGCCGAAGCTTCGGCCCGACCAGGAAATGAATTTCTTAAGGTCGACTTTGCTCACTGAGCCGATGGGGTTGAGCTGGTTGGTTTGGTTAGTTTGGAATAGAAGTTTGTGCTGAACATGCGGGAATTGATGCTTACATCGGCGGAACTGGCATCGTACTTGGTGAGGTAGCCTCGCAAACTAGATGGGTTGGGTCAGTTACCGGGCAGGGAATTGGTGTGTCTATGTGGCATACCATTCTGTAATAACGGTTAGTGAGGATGTTCAACGAGATACGGTGTGTATTTGAGATACTTACCATCAACATTAGATGATGCGAGAACGAGTAAGCCACCACCACCAGGGCGTTGACGCACAGTCGGCAATAGCGAGGCAAACAGGTATGAGAGGACCATTCTGAGGCGAGCCTGCACGTTCTGAAGTGCGGCATTCTCCGCGGGAGATCCACCGTGCATTTTGAAACGAGGCTGGAAGTTAGTGAGAACGGTAAAGAGGTTCATGATAGAAGTGACCACAGTATCGAAATTGAAGTCAATGTGGTAAGATCCAATATCTCCGGCCAGTCGAGTCGCTCTGTCTCGTGTCTCCTGGCCCGAGTTTTGTGTGCCCATGTAGCTGGTATGGAAGATAGACCTAAAAGAATCTGTCAACACTGTCCCAGACTATGACGGCAGAGAAATTGCCCGACAGAGGCTCAACACTTCGAAGACTTACTTGCAAATTTCCTGGGTGGTGGTAGGAAGCCACTCTGTATCTTCAGGCTTCGCACACAACCGGCGGACATCCTTGATGACCTGCTCGTTGCCTTCCCGGACTGCCTTGAGCACTTCACGACACATGGAGTGCACAATGATTGCCGTGGCACAGCTATCAATACCACCGCTCAGAGGAAGGAAGAAACCGGCGGCTCCACATCTCCGAAGATAATCCCATAGCCAGCAGGCAGGTCCCAGAGCAATCTCCTCCTCAGGAGGATGATACCGCGGCTTAATGGGCTGAGAAGTCGCAAGGCTAGGCTCTGCATCTTCATCCCGGCGAGAAAGTCTGATATCAAGATCAAGGCGGACATAGGGCGACTGCTTGCTCGCTTGCATTCCACGGCTTGCGCTGCACCGGTATGTGCGGACTTCTTCGATGTCGACTGTTGCAGTGATGACTTCCACATCGTTCAGGGAGAACTGTGAGCCTTGGGCCACGATGTCTCCGTTAACGACAATCATGGCACATCCGTCATAGTACAGACGATCGCCGTCGCAGCCTTGCTGATTGGCATAAAGATAGATTCCGCCGCTCTGTGAGGTGTGAGAAAAGTGCTATCCTATTGTAGCTTTATTTTCCACTCACTAGTTTGGTAGCCTGGGTGATCAAATTGACCCGAGTGTCGAGCTTCTTAAGTTCGTGGTGGCTGCCCGAAGAGTTGGAGATTATCTCGACACCTAATTCACATTAGACAGTGAGCGCGGTAGTCTGGACATTGAGACTCACCAGCTAGACCATAGGGAACGTGGGGGCTAAAATCGACTGTTAGCATCCAAAGTCACACAGAGAGCTCAAAACTTACCCATTAGGGGTGAAAAGCTCCTCGCATGTCTCAAGACCAAGACATGTATCTCTCGTGCTGATAACGGCATCACCGAATGGAACCTTGTACTGGCCAGTAACCTTTCCAACAATTGATTCCAAATAGTAGTCTTCCACCTCCTGCGGACGCTGCCATGGCGTAAAGTGTCGGTGCTCGCGATAGTTACCATCTAGATTAAAAAATGATATTAGCAACTGTTTTCCGAAGAATAAAGAACAATTGAACAAACCATTGGCAAGCCACATCTTCGGCCTGATCAGGACGATCTTCCGGTTGTAGAAAATCACACTTGTGAGAGGATATATCAGCTAATGCGATACCAGTTGCATCGGCAATACTAACCGACAATTGTAGCGCACATTGCGATGGCGAACCGGCAATCCCACGTCAACCACAATATCTTGGCAATCGGGATGGTCGATGATGCGGGCGAGCATTTCCCATGAGTGCAAGAAGGTGTCGCCCTCAAGGAAACCATCCAGAACTCCATAGCCGGTAATCTCGAGCTCCGGTCCAACGCGCAAAGTGGCACCGGCAGCCTTAGCTTGCCGAATACTTTCAATGATGCGCTCCGCGTTGCCCTCAAAGTCGAGAGCCCACTGGTTAAGAGAGCTAGAACGAGTTAGTGCGGGGTTCTCTAGTATCCGGATAGCAAGTGGGTTAGCTTTACCATGTTGCTAGAGTGACAAGGTGGCCCATGATGTCTAATATGGCTGTGACGTCTGTATCTTGTGCTTCGCAACGAGGCTCGTCGGCGATAAGAGTCAGAAGAATGTGGTCACGTGTGTGGGGAGCTCAGATTCCCCCGCTTCACTGGTAATAGTATTATTGTAAATTACTGTAATCTACTTTCCAATTGGAATTGTCAGCTTAAATCCGACCAAAACGTGTAATTCCCTTGTATTCATGAATAAATACCCCGAGACCGCTGATTAATGCGATTCCTCGGCCCTGAGCCCTGTTCACGGGATTCCACTCCTTGATACATTGGATATAGACTCATTAGAAAGTGATTTTTTTTCTTGTTAATATTCTACCATATAAGACATTTATTGTTGGCAATCTAGCTCTTACAGAATGAGCACAACCACTCCAATCCCCACCCCGGCTCATATGCTCGCGGATTCCATGTTGTCCCGACACTTCGGCAAAGAGACGGTCAATTACTTCTCCAGTAAGATTGTCTTGAACTCCCCTATATAGGGCGCAGTAGAGCTAAAGCATTTGCAGGCTCTCCAATCAACCGTTTATCGTTCTTGCGCTCTGACCACCCGTTCCTGTCTACGGCTCTGAAGCACCCTTCGACCCGATTTGTACTGTTGAAAAACCTAGCGCCCTTGACTCCGTCGCCGGCACAGCTACACTATGCCAAGTATGGCGATGTGCGCAAGCTTGTGTCCCAGGATACATTCGATACATCCGAGGAAGACATGATCAAGAGCTATGATTCGCGCAACACACACCCGACCCTTATATTCCTTGGACTGGACGAGAGCCGCAAGGAAGATGGAATGGAGTGGAAGACCTACTCTGGCACGCCGTATTTTGCAGTCGATGTGACCCCCAGGGGTTCTGAAGAACAGCAGACTGCAGCAAAGGATGTGATCAGTGCCATGGAGGCGAAAGGACTGTCTTTCTTCCAAACACGAGTTGTCATGTCCTTCTCCGCAGATGAAGGTATGAAGACGCGACAGTAATGTCTAGATTGATAAAAGGGAACTAATCAATTCGGGATAGCTGCTATCTACGCACAAGCACGTGCGCTGATGGACTGGAACACTCGCAACACCTTCTGCGGGACATGCGGCCACCGTACTCTGCCCGTGAATGCAGGAACCAAGCGTGCCTGTCCGCCAACGGATATTGCACGAGCAACTGAGGGCAATACGATACAACGGCCAGAGTGCAATACCCGTACTACGTTGTCAAACCTTTGCTTCCCCCGTACCGATCCGACTATCATTGTGGCGGTGGTTTCCGCCGACGGCAAGCGGATCCTGCTCGGGCGCTCCAAGCGATTCCCACCAGGGTGGTATTCTACGCTGGCTGGATTTATTGAGCCAGCCGAGTCGATTGAGGATGCTGTGCGGAGAGAGGTGTGGGAGGAATCGGGTGTCACTTTGTCCCGCGTTGTTATCCACTCCTCGCAGCCTTGGCCGTACCCGGCTAATTTGATGATTGGCGCTATTGCCCAGGTCAGTGACCCCGCGCATGAGACGATCTCTTTACTGCACGATCCTGAGTTGGAGGATGCGCGGTGGTTTGAGATTGAGGAGGTGGAGGAGGCGCTGCGGATTGGTGTAAGTGACCTGGGTTCTCAGGCTGGCCCGGAATACAAGGGCGGTTTGCGATTGCCCCCTCCTACGGCTATTGCCAATCAGTTGATCCAGGCTGCTGTGAGCGCGGAGTATTTTGCGACAGAGAAGCACTCTAAGATGTAAAAATCATGATTCTTATGATAATGCATATAGCATTGATGAATTTAGACCTTCACTATCTCTCAACACTGGCAGTATGTATATAACCCCCCATTTTCGGTACTATATTGTCTGTTCAAATGTCTACATGGGTATGATCATCTTCGGTTGACAGGGTTAGATCCTTGTCACTCTCATATCGTATTTGGAGAAAGGACTATGTATCACGAGCTGCAGTAAAACAAGTATGTTTCATCAAGCTCTCATTTGACAACATCAGCAGCCTATTATCGATGAGCATTAGAAAAAGGTTCACTATGTGCATTTAGGCAGCTTACTCACTATGGCATCTTTATATTCCATGATAATTGTTTCCTCAGGCTAGGATAGGGTAGGGTCAAACCTCCTCATAGAACCTAGGAAGTCTGGCACAGTCCTTGTTCTTTTAGTCGAGTGTAGGCAGTGGTTTCAAGTACGTGGATAAATCCATTCTAACCCCTTCGGTTTCATAGTCGCACCGCGTTTATATTAACGGCTATCTATGTTGTATATATATTGGTCTTCTTTGACGTACCACCTTCATGATATATTTCCGTTGACGGATATCAACAAGAAATATGAATCAATGGATAGATACAAAAACCCTTTTCTTAAAAATGATTTCCGTCGCCTTGACATCGTCGAGTTTCATAGTTTCTAAAGTTCAAGTTGTTTACCAACAGACCAAAAATTGCGGTGGGAAATTAGGGCGGGTCGACTCCTTGGCAAGGGTCTCGCACCACAATATCAATCGTCCAGTCCTGTCTCCGCAACTTTCTGCATTGGAAAATGCAATAGGATGCACATTATGCTGGGCTATTCTTATTCATTGGGATTTAATGTCCGAAATATCCCAAAGGAAGAAGACTCTCGAAGCGCTTTGGAGCGACGATCGTCCCTTTCTCAAGCATAGCCCCGCATAGCCTCATGTAGTCTGCCTCATGTAGTCTGTTTATCAATATGGGGGCCAAATGCCAAGAGATGAAATGGCGGCACAACATTGCTTAATATTAATGGCGAGTCTGCTCCTTACAGACTCCTTTGGTACGGTCCATATCGATTCTGTACGTCGATGTGCCACTGTTGAGCCGCATCCCAAGCCTTAGGACTATACCCACCCCTTCCCTTCGTTGCCATTGTGATCCGGCCAGTGCCTTTCCAAAATGGTCCGGAATCAAGAACCAGGAGAGTCACCTGTGTCCCCTGTGCATTCAAATGAAATTGCTCAAAATGCACCAGAGGCGAACACGCCCACACAATCGCCTAGGATCCTTCCCGTTGAGCCTCATCCCGAACCAGCAAATGAACCTCTAGTGCACGACACGGCAGACCAGGAAAACAAACTAAAGAGCAGAGAAAAACCGTCCATGTGGCAGCTTATCTCGAGTTTGTTCATCTGGGAGGTACTAGCCATGGTCTTATCCTCGGGTGTTCTGGTTGCGATCGTTGTGATCTTGACACAATATGATGATCATCCTCAACCGGCCTGGAGGTTGGTGTCGCTGAACTCGGTAATATCCTGGTTAAGTACGGTTTCGAAAGGATGTGTCTTATCCGCTATAAGCGAGGGAATAGGACAGCTGAAGTGGGTGTGGTTCACACGGAAGAGCCGACCCTTAGTTGATCTGGGCGCCTTCGATGGGGCTAGCCGCGGGGTATACGGTTGTGCGGGATTAGTTTGGAGACTACGAGCAAGGTAGGTATCTATATATCCTCGTGGTCGCGTCTTGACTAGGGACTTATGATACTATATAGGCATTTTGCAGCCCTAGGCAGTCTGGCCGTTATCCTCGCCATCGCCTTTGACCCTTTTATCCAAAATTTGATCCACTACTACCCTAAACTCATTGCCGATTCCTCAGGAACTGCGATTGTGTCGAGCAACCCCCAATATGATGCTCTAGGTCCTGCTTTGGAAACTGGTAAGACGTTGAGTGGTGCTCTTTTCATCTGAATATCGCTAACCCACGTGTATAGGAGCATGCTATCTTGATGCGGAAATGAAAGCCAATATTTACAACTCGCTATTCAACAGCGATATGTCAAAGCCATGGTCCATTCCGCGGTACACCTGTAGCTCGGGAAATTGTACCTGGGGTCCAATAGCTACACTGGAAATGAGGGCAAGCTGCACAAACATCACAGACCGACTGAAAACCGAATGTAATGACCAAGACGACAAGAGACCTGCTTCAATTGAGCCCATGTGCTCTGTTTCGATTCAAGGTGGCACTAGTAACACCAATAACATCTCTGCGGCTTTCCAGTTGAACACATTCCACGGCACGCCAATCGTGATAGGATCGACGGAGAGTTCCATCTACCCAGAAAGCCTCATCCCTGCTATCCAACTTATCGCCCCACATGACCTGCCAGAAGGCCAAGCAACATGGAAAAACCCCTTTTCGAAGGATTTCAAATGGGAAGCAATAGAATGCAGCATTGAACCGGTTGTGCACAGCTTCCGCGCAAACGTCACCAAGGGCGTTTATCACCAAGAAACACTGGGCATCTCGAAGAACGGATCTTTCGACAACTCAATCTATAAGCACTACCGCATGCATCCCCCCTGGGGACGAGATATGGGTGTTGAGCCAAACAAAGAGTTTGTGATAAAGAAGAATTCGCTCATAGCGATCCAATACTTTTTCCAAAACTTCTTCGCCGGCCGAGCGCGGCTCGATCTTTTCGGTTTTACTTTCTCTCCTGACAGCAAGCAATATAAATACGCGACGGCAGATTTAATGCAGTTTATCACACTTGCGAACATGACGGGTTGTGCTGTTGGAACTATCAATAAAATGCACTGTGCTATGGATAATGTTGCTGAGGCTATGTCAAAGGCTATTCGAGATAACGCGTCACCTTCAAACGTCACTACTGCTGGACAGGCAATGTCGGCCAGGACACACATTTCCATTCATTGGCAGTGGATCATTCTTCCGGTGTTGGTGTGGCTATTGGGCCTTGTCACGTTATTAGGCACTATTTGGAAGACTCGCACAGCTAGGATTCCCACTTGGAAGAATGAGACGATGCCGCTATTATCTCTGTATAGGGATGGTCAGAACGAGAAGCCACGAAGTGGTCAAGGGGTGAAGAACGAGAGGGTGATGTTATACCAAAGCGAGGGCAAAATGGTGCTGTCTGGGTAGTTTTCAAGGATACATACTGGTGTATGCTGCATTTGTTCCTGGATAATAGAGATGCTGATATGTATATATGAGAGAGTACACAGTACTACCGAAAATTTTTGATTTGTTCAAATGGAAGTGTTTTGTTTCACTCCGTAGGTACATGGGGATTGTGACAGATGCCACATTAAGTATCAAGACATCAGGACAACCATTTCAAATATTGGCATACAATGTGCCGTCTCGTAACTCGTGAACACTGCTGTTTCCACTGTTTGGAGACCCGACCTCGGTGTAACGAGTGCCATCCCGCAGTTCATGAATAGTGACTCTTCGGTTGCTTTTGCGCTTGCGCTGAGAACCACGCCTGGAATCCGGACTCCCTGACTCACTTGGCACTTGACTGCTTGGTGTCATATCGCGCTCCTGGCTGTCTCTTTCAATAGCTGCCTGGAGCTTATGGTCTGCGACCCTATCTGAGCCAACTTCATAGTACCATCGACGCAAGCCAGAGGCGTAGGCACGTTCCTGTGTGTCGTATTCGACGGGGGGTCCGTTCGTCTCGGCATCGGGACCTGAACCGTCGAATACTGCCCATGCGCTGGAATCGACGCTGACAAGCATCACGGCGTGATCGAGGCTCCGGACCTTGAAGTCGCGTAAGAGTATGGCGTTGCCTTCTGTCAATGACGGCATTGAGGCCTTGTGGCGCCGGAAAATCTGAGCACGAAGAGTCGTGCCAGCCATGGAGGGGTCGGTAAGTTGAATAGTCACGAACCAGTCTTTCGATCCGGATTTGGCTCGGCTTATCGGTGAAGCCTCGTGGACGATTGAGATGGTATCGACCAATGCATTGTAGTGATCAATGAGTGTAGCAAGCGGGGCGAAGTAAGAAAGCTTGCTACGCAGTCCAGAGGCATTACGATCAGGTGCTGGGGGCTGTGCAGCGGGAACTGCCGGTGTTTTTGGGGATTCGGTGCTGATCACAACCTCCAGAGAGCGGCTAGGTTCGGGCGTTGCTGGGGGTTCCGCAGCTTCAGCGGGTTTCGAAGGAGGCATGGCATCATCATTTCCATCAACGTGCATCTCTTGTTGGATATCCTTTATAGGTTCCGCTTCGAGACCATCATCTTGGTCGGACTCCGGGGAGCTAGCAGGCTGCGACATTCTATCCAGACCAGTAGGGGCGTCATTTTCTTCGACCGTGAATGAAGTTTCAAGTTTAATATCATGAACCAGCTCACGTGTGGATGCGTTTTCCTGGGTGGGGTCTGGGGTCAAGGGTTGTCGCTCAAATGAAGGCTCAATGGATGGCGAGACTCGACCGCCAAGGGCCTCAGGTCCTTCGGGTCCTTCGACAGTCGGTTCATGTTCATGTTTCAACAAAAGATCGGCCATGGCATTTCCAGCAGATGAAGGGATATGCAAATCAGATTGTCCGTCCACAGTGAGATACTGCCCAGCATGACTTTCGACTTCCGAGGATGGGCCTTGATGATGAGATTCAGGCATATCAAGCAAATCTGGATCAATATTGCCTGATTGCCCCTCGTCGAAGTCCCGACCAACTGGCACTTCTATCTCTACGCCAAGTGTCGCCGCATCATGATATTCCTCGTCGTCGGCTTCTTCGATGAGCTCCGCATCTTCCATTTCTTCATCTTCGTTTCGCTGAGGGTTGGGGGATACAACTTCAGGTGGATGGTCTGTTTCATAGTGGTCTCGGGTCGACTCGTCGTCGTCCATGTCGCTCTTGTGAACTCGGTCATCTTGTTCATCGTATTCGCGCTCTTCACGTTGCTCTGCATCAAGGTTAGCCGCAATGTAAGATTCGTCGTGGTCGGCTTCTTCGATGAGGTCCGCGTCGTCCATTTCTTTGTCTTCATCCTGTTCAGGGTTGGGTGATGCCACTTCAGATGGATGGGCCGTTTCATAATGGTCTGAGGTCGGCTCATCATCCTCCATGTCACTCTCGTGAACTCGATCATCCTTTTGGTTGTATCCAGGCTCTTCGCCGTCTTCGCTCTCGTCACCTTCCTCGCTCTCTTGGCGCTCATTGATGTCTGAATCTTCTTCCTCGGCTCTTTGATAGCCATCCTCTCCACCGACATACCACGGCTCTGGATATTCCTGTACACCCGTTGCAAACTCAGCTGTCGCTGGAGGGACGTCTGCATATTCAGCTTCAGAGTGGTGTGAGTGATCCTCTCGTTCTGCTGACTGCGAAGCTGAGGCTACCGGATAATTGGAGGCAGGTTCATCATCACTGTCACTGTCGAGCACGATTACTTCTTGGGTTCCCGTCTGCGAAGGCAGGCTCTGTTCCTGCTCAGACTTTTCACCACTGTACTCATCTTGGTCCAATTGTGATTCCAAGCGAGGATCACAAGGGAAATCCTCGTCTTCTTCATATTCATCTTGTGAATCGTAATTTTCCACTGACTCCGCATAGTACACTTCACCATCCTTGGTCATTTCATGCTGTTCTTCACTGTATTGACTGGATGAATGATCGATGCTGTCTTCCATATCTTTTTCCTCTTCCATGTCTCTCTTCCTTTCGACTTCCTCATCTCGAGCGGTTATCATTCTTTCGAGGGCATTAATCGCATCCTGATCAAAGCCAGTGGGTGGTTGTGGATAATTGACCGACTGAGGCTCTGGCTCAGAATGTTCCTCGTGAGATCCAACATTATCGCTGACGGTCTCAATGCCAAGATCAGCTTCGGCAATATCTGAGCCATCAATCCTCTGTGAGCATTCAAGTGATTCATCTTCCAAGCCTTCCTCCGAGCGCGAAGATGATGCTGAATCGTCTCGCCATAGGTAACTGACATCAATGAGACGTTCGTCATCTGCTTCATCTGATGCTTGAGCTTCGTCGGCGGCATTTTCGGTACCCGTATCAGGTTGAGCGGCAGCAGATTTATCGCTGACACCAGGGGAGTCATCTGATTCACCTGCCGAGCCCGAAAATGGTGCTTGATGGTCGCGGTTAAGAACATTGACGGTATGCTTCTGCTCTGCTTCATTTGACGTTTGAGCTTCGTCGCCGGTAGTGTTGATGATCACATTAGCTTCAATGATATCTGATTCCTCAATAACCTCGGCGTCGATTATCTCAACTTCTTGTTTTTCTGATACACCTTCTGGGTCTGGATATGATGCCGAATCATCGCGGAAGCCAAAACCGGCATCCAAGACATGTTCTTGCTGGATGGGCTCAACATCCGGATCAACTGGTTCCACTGTCCTCGTATGACTGGGATCGATTGCGTCGGTGTGATGGATGTCGATGGATGATGCTTCGGGCGTTGCTATGGTGCCCATTTCCACAGGAACAGGTCGACTCTCATAGGACTGCGTGGGCGCAGTCCATGGCAGGAAATAGCCAGGCGAGCCAGCATAATTAGATACAAGGGGCGAAGGGATCGGGAGCCCTGGAGAAGGGATAGGCCGAATCTGTGGTGTATCCGTTGGCAGATGAAAAGCTGTTCCATCTTTATCAACTTGTTCATCAGAGAAAACATTTGACTCGCCGGCATGCCTTCCAAGGATCCCCCCAGTCAACTCAAGGGAAGGTTTCGCGAACACCGGAATTGGATCTTGTGGTGCACCCTCTGCGAATGTTGGAGCTTGGGCAGCATCCGTCATCGGCTCGTCTGAAGGCTCACTCGCCAAATCTGCCTCCTCGAGCTCTTGGTCGATAGATTGTATGAAAGCCTGTTCCCAATTTACAGGGGCTTCTTGCTCATGGGGACTTTCTGGTTCATTGATAACACGCCAATCTTCCCTCTGCAGGCTATACCTCGGCTTTTTTCTTCCTTTCCCGGGAACAAATCCATCTTCCTCCGCAAAAGCATGGAAAGCCGAACGGACTGTTCCTCCGAATGAGGTTCGGGTAGACTCAAGGAATACCGGTGATCCCCAGAGGCGTGCACTAGAAGGTAGGTCGAGTTCGGGATCGGTTGATTTCCCACTAGGAGTTGTGGGCGGTGCGAGTTCGGTTTCATGTGGTGCTGTCACTTGCGGCTCAACTGATATTACCAACGGGGGTTGGGAAGATCGGTAGATCTAGATGGACAGGAGTCAGTCGCTGTAAAACACATATCCAGTTTGGGAGCAACATACCTCGAGAAACACGCCATTCTCCCAGTGCGCGTCCCACGCGACTGACCTTCCCGGAGTTTGGTGGACGCCGTCATTGCTGACAAACTTGATATCTTTCAAGGCCAGACAAACAGTATCCCCAATTCCGACATGCGATTCTGCGACCTTTTCCGCGACGCGCCCATGGAACGTGGCCTTGATTTGTCCTTTGGCACCCCTCAGGCGGAAATCCGGCTCCGCTAACAGAAGGCTGACAGACTTGGTTGAAGAGGAGTATGGCCATACGAGTGCCACAGCTGCAAGAAAAGACCTTTCGGCCAATTTCTCAATGTCGGGAGAAAGCTGAGCTATCGGAACTCTAGTCAAATGCGCCAGCGCATTCGGCGCGGGAGGCTGCTTGGGAGACTGCTCGATCGCATTCATTGCGCCGGTTTTCCCAGGCCCGACTGTTGCTTTGTCAAGCTGTCCACATGTCAGACAGGAATAATAATTGAGATAAGATAGAGAGGTTAAGAAATGCGATTAAAAAAGACCGAGGACTGAAAGGAAAATGTAAGAGAATCTTTCGTGCACCAAAGAATTGACAAGCTGAAGCTCCGTCGGGTAATGGTACAGTAAAAACGTGAGGAGAAGGACGTAATCTACGTATTGTGAAAACCAAAATTACCCCCTTCATTGTATTGTTGATTAGTCGATTTGATTATAGAAATACATAGATACATATGTATTTACTTAGAGATGCTTTTAAATGTCAATAAGATTGAAATATGTCTATATAGATGTGTATGTTTTACGTCTTTACGACCTCTAACCTACAATGTACCCGCTATATCACTAACGTAGCTCCACTATGGTGAAAGCGCTAAGCATCAGGCCACTTCTAATCTGTATCTCGCGGCTGAACTCGTATTTCTAACTACATAGATTATTCGTAACTCCCAAGAGCTCGTCGAAAGCATGCCAGTCACAAATCCTATTCGTCGAGTAGCTGTCATCGGCGCAGGGCCGTCAGGCCTTGCTGCAGTCAAGTAAGCGGGGTCGTTACATACTCGTCCCCAACATGGCATGACTGACTGACTCAGATACCTGCTCGCCGAGAAATATTTTGATCGCATCGAGGTCTTCGAGCAAAGAAGCTCCGTGGGAGGAGTTTGGAACTACAGTCCGAGTTCCTCTAAAAAAGGGATTTCAACAACTGTCCCACATTTAACCCCTCACGAGCCAGTCGAGAAACCGGTGTGGGTTGATTATGCTGAGGGGCGTGAAGCAACATTCGTGTCTCCGCTATACGATCGACTGGAAACCAACATCCCTAAGGAGTTAATGCGTTATTCAGATCAGGCCTTCCCATTGGAATCCCAGCTCTTCCCCAAACACCGAACAGTGAAACAATACCTCGAGGATTATGCCGAAGATGTCAAAGACCTCATTCAATTTGAGACACAAGTCTTAGAAGTGAAACTCATGGATGAAACTCTAAGTACCTGGAGTTTAACAACAAAGAGCCTTCCAACCGACATTGACACAACCCACACTTATGATGCTGTGGTGGTTGCAACTGGTCATTTCACGGTCCCTTATATACCCGACATCTCGGGAATACAAGCCTGGGATGCATCATACCCAGGTGTCATCTCTCATTCCAAGTTTTACAACTCCCCAGAACCTTTTCAAGGGAAGAAAGTGGTTGTGGTAGGAAATTCTGCTTCCGGGCTTGACATTAGTGCGCAAATCAATGAAGTAAGCCAAGGCAAACTTTTGCTCTCCCAACTATCTGAATCCTACCTGGCTGCACCCACAAATGGCGATAAAATCATCTGCCCGGAGATAGTCGAGTTTCTTCCTTCGACAACTCATGACAGAGGTATAAAGTTTGCGGATGGCCGCCTTGAGGAACATGTTGATGCCATTATTTTCTGCACCGGTTATTTTTATTCATATCCTTTCCTGTCTTCACTCAACCCACCAGCTGTGACCCACGGCTGGCGAACAATGAATATCTACCAGCACTTGTTTTACATAGACCACCCAACTCTCGTCTTCCCAGTGCTTTCGCAGCGGGTTATTCCATTCCCTATGGCTGAGAACCACGCAGCTGTTTTCTCTCGTGTGTGGTCTGCGCGGCTTACACTTCCACCAAAAGATGCGATGAAGGCATGGGAGACGTCTGAGATTGATGCCAAAGGAGATGGAAAGGGGTTCCACCTGCTTCCATTCCCCATGGATGCTGACTACCTTAACCTTCTCTACGACTGGGCGGAAAAGGCCGAGGCACGACCTGGACTGTCTAATAATGGACAAGGCAAACTTGGTACTCGATGGGGTGAGCGGGAAAGATGGATGCGAGCCAATTTCCCAGATATAAGGCGTGCCTTCGTACAGCGAGGTGACGGGCGAGGCGAGATCAAGAATCTAGCAGAGCTTGGCTTCGACTTTGAAGAGTGGAAGAGGCAACAAGATGATCATTGATTCATTGTTGGGTCACATCTCAACCTGTACCAACAACATCAAAGTGATCTATATCCATGAGAAATACAATAGTTGTGCACCTTTAAATTATTATATGGACAAATAAGCCTATAATCGTTGACCAACATGTCACTATTCCCAAATGTTGTAGATCTACAGCCGATAAGCGCTATCACGTGAAGCGGGCTCACTATCCGTCCGTCCGTCGCGCCGTGCATTTACCCTCTTTCATATACCTTCGCATTGTTTTAGGGAAGTGTTAGATGTTTCCCAGAATTGAAAATTGTATGTGTCTTGGATCAATGCAGCTCGTATGAGCTTAACTTGAGTATTGAACCTACACTCTCATTTCATCCCCGTCATGTTGTCCAACATCTTCCCGAGACCAATCGCCCGCATATGATGTTTCGGGAGCAGCCTCACCCGCCGAAACTCGATAGTCAGCACAGAAAGAATACTGACCGACCTCCAGCTACAACTGTGGTTATTAGCGATAGCAGTGAAAGCAGCGAAAGCAGCGACGGTAGTGATTCGGACGACCAGGAGTGGCCTATAAAGTGTATCCTCCGTGAAACGGACACCGAGTATCTTATTGATTGGGAGGGTCCTTACGATCCAACTTGGGTGAGTTTCTGTGGAATGTCTGGACATAAAAGGCATCAAAGAAATACTTGGCGAGCTTGTGCTAACAAATGCGCTTGCCTTGCTTGTTCAGGAACCCAAAGAGAACGCAAGTGAGCTTGCTATACAGGTCTGGAACAAGCGGAAAGCTCGACGATCAAGCGAGCTAAATAGGAAATCGACACGGCAGAAGATCACTCAATCGGCCAGTGTCATCGAGGTTTATTCGTCATCAGAAGCAAACATCGGCCCAGAGGACCGCAACCGCACGCCCGACGACGAGACCGAGCAGAGTGACGCCGACTCCAATAATTATTCAAGAGCTTCCTCATCACTGTTTTTGCGACAAGAGGGTCTTTCAGAGATAGTAGACTCTCTTAAATCCCAGTACATTGAAGCCTCGGGCTGCTTTTACGGGACCACATCTCCATCCCAAGCTTTCTCCGATTCTTCTCTACCCCTAGCGACTGGATCAACAAAATTTCGCTCGCAGGCGGACGCCACGTTTTTTGGTTACATCCCCGAGTCATCTACACCTGAATACCTTCAACCAGGTGAGTGGGACGACATCAGTACGCAGCAGCCTAGTCCGACTCGTGACTCAACGGACGATTCGATTGATAGCTGCTCATCGCATCCACAGTACTCTGCGCAAATCAGCAACGTGCTTGAATTCTCACACCCGAACACGCCGGGTCTTACACTGAGCTCCAAGGTCTCCGAAATAGCTGAGACGCCTGCTTATCCACCAGCCTCAGGAGCTGATTTCTCGTGCCTCGGCTCTTTCCCTCTTCATAATACTCCATCTCACAACCATTTCACCTCACAGCCTTTTGGCCCGTCTGGTCGCATCGTCAGAGGTAGTGTTACATGCAGGTCAAGTTTGACATTTTGCTTACATTTTCACAGACTGTGAGTTTGTCCAGTCAACTTATCTAAGCTCAATTTCAGAGACAGTTTTTCAACACTTGTCACAACATCCAGAAAATCTCAGCGCTGAACGTTTTACTGAACCAACGTTTTCATTTTCAAACCTTGTGGAAGAAGGACAATCTGCCGAAATCATGGCAGACCAAGAGCACAAGCCATCGGATCCTTCTCTCTCCGATGCCCCATTGGACCGATACAGTCAATTGCCAGGGTCAACTCCTACGGAAAAAATGCGGAACGCCTGGGCCCGACTCAGCGAAGAGAATCCATCTGAACTATCGCAAACAGCAAACGCCGTCGAAACTCCATCTTCCGTGGGGGATATCGAGGCTTCGATCCCTGTGGCCGTCCCCGAAACAACTGCACCGCTTAGTGTCAGACTGGATACAGATTCCTTTTCCCATTCACATACCGCAGTCCATCATGGCCATTCTAAACCTTTACTACCACCATCAGAACTAGCTCACGGAGGCGATATGAGTCAACCTTCACTGCAAACTATCCACCCCAGCGCGTTGACTGTCACTGGCATGGATGATGAGGTTGCGCCCGGATCAGTCCACCTTGGGCCATCTGAATTTGCTGTCACCCTTCCAATGGATTCTCGTGTGAAGGATGACTACGAGCGAGTGCTATCAAATGCAGCTGCAAACATACGCCAATTTTTCGACAGCTTTCAGTCGAATACTCAAATTTCTGAGCTTGAGGTTGGTGGAGAATCTGTCTTGAATATAATTCGTATTTCTAACATCGTATGTACAGCGAGAGGTTTTACACTCAAATATGCGGGAGGTCATCTCGCGGTTGAGCAATGTTTCTACCCATCCAGACTTGAACATCTCTGACCATTTGAAAGACGCCGATCCCGACCTTGCGAAAGAGGCATCCTGGGCTGAATACTCCAGTGCAAAGTTTCTCCTACTCGGTCATCTCGTGGATATTGTAGGTACAAACGAGCTCCATATTATTCTTGCTGTTCAAGACGAGAAGAAACAGGCAGTCCTTGAGCGTTATCTCCAAGGGAAGGGTTTTGCATACAGCCGACCCCGTGGAGAGATGGGCAGCACCCTGGAAGTTTCCCTAGTCAAGGGGTCGCTCAGCTTTGGAATTCATTCCAGTGAGACGGCCCGTGAACTCTACAAGCCGCCGTCTGCTATTTTCGCGTTGGATTCGTATTTTAGACCCAAAAGTCCGTCCGTGCAGCACCTCCGAACGACTTATGCCCGAAACGGGAACTTGCTTCCCGTCATCTGGTTTCTTGTCGCCAACACGAGTGAACATATCGAGCGTTGTTTGCCCGACTCACCAGAACCTAATCGATTGCGTTTACTTGTGCACTACATTGCCCGTCTCCATGATGAGGTCGGTGATCTCCAGGATGATGCCTTCGGCGTTCATGAAGATGCCGAAGAGATTCTTGGATACCTCTTGGATAGTGTTGCTGGTTGGCCACTGCCTACCATTGAACCTTTGAATCTTGTATCCCTGGAGGAGTTAGAGTGCTACAGCTCTTCTTCTGACGAGGCGATGCCGCCGGCCCAAAAACGCACACTGGTAAGTATCCTACTTTTCGATGTATCTGGATTCAGCTAACGCTTCGGACCAGGACGAAGAACTCGAGGAACACTCGTCGAAGCGCGCCCGAGTCGGTACCCAAGAGAACAGCCAGTTGACCGAATCAACCAAGCCTCCCAGTCAAACATTGGACCGTGATTTGCAATCACTAGAAAAGAATATCATCCAGATGAAACATATTCACGCGAGTGAAAAGGCCCAGTTGCAAGCTGAGCTTGCTCAGGCCAATTCTCGATTCCAAGAAATAGAGAGGTCACTGGGTATTCTACAACACCGTTACGAGACTCGGGCAAAGGAACTCCACGCTACTCGCCAAGAGCGTGATCGCGTAACTGAAAGCAAGCCGTCTCTGGAACAGCGCGTCGAGAAACAAAAAGAGACTATCTCTAGTCTGAAAGAAGAACGAACAGAGCTAAAGCGAGAGCTCGACGAAGCCAGAAAAGCACTCAAAAACGGCGGTGGCAGCACTGCTGAACTGGAGACAGCACATGAGGAAATCCGCCGCCTGGTCAAGGAAAATTTGAACCTTGAGCGCAAGGCTGAGTTCGAGAAAAACCAATCTGAGTACATGCGAGAGCAATATCAAACTGCGTCTACAGCGGCCGCTCAGTCCGGCACAGAAAGCCGCCTTTTGGCCGCCGAGAACGAGAAACTAAAGCGCAAAGCTGAAAGCAATGTCGTCCAACTTCGTGAGCTGCACATGAAGGATGAGTCGGTCCGTCATCTAGCTCGGATTGAAGAGTTAGAATTAACTCTCGCTACGCGCGACGAATTCCTACGCAGAAAGGAAGATGAGCTTCGTGAAATCCGGAAGAATCGTCCATCGACTCGCTCGACTAGCACTCAACCACGAAGCCCCAAGTGGGCCGGCAGCCGTCCGACCAGCCCCGGGGTTGGTCATAATGGTAACGGCAATGGCGGTCTTGGGGGCAGGGGCAGTGCGCTACGATACAGTTCAGAGATGCCTTTCTAAGAACATTACCTAATCTCGCCCATCTCCTTCATTTTTCCCACGTCTCCTGCTATTGATCATGTTCTTGGCGCGCGTTTTTCTCACCCCGGCCAATCTATGACGTCTAGACACGATACATAGACGGGGCGTCTGCTCTTTGCGAAGCATTTTACAATCACATTAGCTATATCTTTATTCCTTTCATCCGTTCGTTACGACATTGCATCTTCCTGGCGTTCCATCCATCTATTGCGACTCTCATTTACCTATGAGCAATTTTCCTTTCGCGAGAGTAAAGCGAGCGGTCTCGGATGCAACGGTATCTGAGTCTTGTGTCATCTCCAAGCAAGTGTTGCTGTTTCATTCAATTTTCGTGGCAGTCTTTTTCGCCACAGCCCCAATGACAGATATCCTATGTGTTTTTGTTTGATCTTTAGGCCGCACCTCCTTTCGGTCTTCCAGGGCTGGAAGGTGTTCATTGTTGGAGTTTACCTAGCTGTTCAATCGATGCCTTTTGAAATAAAACCAATATTTCCAATTGTAAAAAAGCAATCTGAATTTCCATACTTGATAATTAAAATATAACCCACAAGTAGCGAAGGCCACAAAATTATAGATTATGTAAACACTGAGATAATAAGACAGGGGACGAAAGAAAGAACTTTATCCTGAGCGGCAGCATACAGAATGGATAGATAAATAGAGAAAAAGGCCCACGTCCTAAACTCCAGGAAATAGACATATCGCAGTGCCAAGACGCGATGCATTTACACCGAAGCCAGAGAGTTAGCAATGAATGTAGCCAGCTCCTTGGCCTTCTCGCCACGAGTCATAGTGAAATGATTGGCACCCTCGATAACGGTAATGCCGCCAACATGCTTCGGTCCGACAAGGGTATCCCAACCATTCGGACCGAGGTCAGAGCGGTTGTTTAGCAACCAAAGCATCTCACGAGGATCGGCGCTACCATCTGCAGCTGGTGCAGGCCGGGCATCACCTGGCTTAGAGCAGACACCATCCTTGGCCCAGACCATGAATGTCTTGGGGAGTTTGTCGGCTAGCTTTGGGTCTGCATAGGGGAATGGAACCGCCTTGTAAGCGTCTAAGGAGTCGATGAAGGCCAGGAAGTGGGGGAGGAGCCACTTGGGTGGAGGCGTCTTGCCTTCTCCAAACAGTCCGATCGTATCGAAGAAACTGTACAGACGGGGGGGCAGCTTCTCTAGTCCAATGGGGAAGGGTGAGTCCAAGAGAAGCAGGCGCTCAACTCGCTCGCCTTCCTCGAAAATCAATTGGCGAGCGGCGTCGTAGGCACAGATACCACCGGCGGACCAGCCACCGAAGTTGTAAGGGCCAGTGGGTTGGCGACGCCGAATCTCAGCAACGTAAGGAGCTGTGAGCTCATCCAGGCTGAACTTGAGGTTCTCAGGGGTGCGCATGTATGGGCAATTCAGCCCATAGACACACACGTCGGGAGAAATTCCAGGGATGGTAGCATAGGAGGTAGCAGAGCCAGAGCCATCAGGGAACAAGAACAACCTCTGGGTTGCTGTCTTTGGGTTTCCTTGCAGAAGGATCGAAGTGGCTGGTGGGTGCTGGGGAGCAGTGCTAGGAGCGACTACCGGGGCTTGAACAGGGATTTGTTCGGGGAGTCTGATTGGCTCCGCCGGAGCGGGCTTGGGCTTTAGGTCCAGCGTAGTCTCGATATCATCGAGTGTTTGGTTCTCAATAAAGAACTCTCCAGGGAGATCGAGATCGAGATCTTCGCGGATCTTACCGAGAACTGTGAGTGACATCAAGGAGTCCAAACCCATCTCAGCAAGGTTTGCGTCGCCATTGAGCTCCTCGGGTTCAACACCGATCTCCTCGGCTAAGATGGAGGCAATCTGCCTCATGCTGTCATTTTGCTCCTGCAATCCGTGTGTCATCGACTTCTCATTTGCAGGCGTTGGCATACCACTGGTATTTGGAGACGACAAGTCGGTCGACGATGCGGCCGAGGACATGTCACCTTCGCTGCTTGACCCATCACTGTGTTCACCAGGGTCCATCTGAGATAGGAGATGTTTGAAGTCTTTGACAGTTGGATTATCCACGAAGATAGTGGAGTCAAGATCGAGGCCCATGTCCTCGCGGTATCGCCCAGTGACAGTCAGCGAGAGCAGGGAATCCACTCCATAATCAGCGAAGTTGAGATCATCAGTCATCTCAGATGCCGAAAGTCCGACTTCTTCAGACAGGATTGCAAGAGCGCGTGTAGCCAGACTTGGCAGTCCGGATTTTGGTGAAGGGGAAGCCTTTTTGGTGGGGGTAGGCTTAGCCTTCTGGACATTGATGGGAGCAGGAACACTCTTGGCAGCTGGCTTGGGTGCCGGGGCTCCACCTGGAGGAAGAGCCATGTCGAGGATCTTCCGTGCCAGAGCTTGGAACTATATTGTATTATGTTAGTGTTTTATTCGAGAATACTCAGGCGATTGGGAATATACCTTAACACCACCATAAACAGCCACGATGTCATCCCCCTCAAACATATAGACATCGCCAGCCCAGATAGAGTCCTTCCAGGGTTGCATCCTCACGTAGGTGCGATAAGTGACACTGGAGTCGAACTTCTTCAAGCATCGCATTGAGTCCCATCCATGATTGACGAACACTTGGTTCTTCGAATCGGTGTTATCACTAGCATTCATGATAAAGCCAGACAAATGACCAATGCTATCAATCCAGAATGGATTGCGATGGAAGTTGCCTGGCGGGGCCTCGAACTTGACTAGAGCGGTAGCCTCGTGTTGTTCACTGTCGAGAATGACTTCGCGCATGGATTTGTAGTTCTCGTCATAGTCCACGAGAGAAGCAAAGAGCTTGTAGACCATTCCTCGCTTCATACGGTGGGCCTGGCCAGATATCGTGCTCTCTTGGAGATGCTCAATGCTTCGCTTGATCAGGTAAGAGCTGCGCTTCCACTCGAGCTCATAAGGACTGGGATCAAAGAACTTGATGTTGCAGCTGGCGTGGTCAAGTATCTTCTTCCCATCTGGGGTCACAGACCACACCTGCACCTTGGCATTTTCTTCGGCCCAGTTTGCGGTGGCTGAAACACGGAATAGTTGCTTACCCCCCTTGGCAATAAGCGGCTTGGGGACCATCACATTGCAAATATCAAAGCCTCGATCTTTCCACTCAGGCTTGTAATTCTGAACTAGATATTCACCGAGTGTTTGTGCAATATCGGCGTACAAGGACTAAAATACGATTAGCAAACAGAACATTTCAGTGGGAAAATTGAGAGTACGCTTACCGATGGAGTAAGACAGGCACCGTTCACCTTGTGACCTGCAATGACACGATTGAGCTCGGGATCAGCAATGTCATTCTCGATGACGATAGATGCCGCCGCATTGTCACCACTCGTCTCCAAAACTTTCTGAGCTGCTGACGATAAGAACACGGCGACTGGTGCAGCCTCACTCACTGGTGCCGCAGGTGCACCCTTGAGCAAACAGAAGTTATTGGTGTAAGGAATCCAGTAGTTCTTGAGATCCCACTTGTAGGAAGGAAGTGGGAGAACTTTGTGGCCGGCGGTGAAATCTTGGTGATACTCCTTCCATCGAAGCTCAATTCCAGCCATATAAAGAGCCGAAGTGCTGGTTGAGAGAACCTTCCACGTGTCTTCCTGGCGACGGAGAGATGGCACAGTAGTTGCCTGAGGTCCAAAAGTTGCCTTGACCATTCCAGAGCAGACGGGGTGAGAGCCAATCTCAACCCAGATTGTCTTATCGTTAATCAAGTTGGAGTGCCGGGTAGCTTCTAGAGCACCCAGGAAATTGACAGTCTCCCTGCAGTGGCGGGTGAGGTAGTTGGGACCAAGCAACTCGCTATTATTCTCATTGATGACATCTCCGAGAAGGGCGGAGACGAATGGAATAGAGGGCGTATTGAAGTTCACACCCTTTCCGATTTCAGCAAGGCTCCCAAGGATAGGTTCAACCTGAGCCGAATGGAAAGCAAATGGTACATTCAGCTTGGTAGCCTTGAAACCTTCGTTGGTAAGGGTTTGTGTAAGCATATCAATTTTCTCGCATGCGCCACTGATAACAGTTTCGCTGGGCGCATTGATGCAAGCCACCTCGGTGGCTTCATCAAGGAATTGCTTGACCTGTGCTACTGAAGACTTGACAGCAAGCATAGCGTGGGTTCCAACCTTGATTTTCTCAGTGAGAAGTTGGGCTCGTCGCCCAGCGAGGTAGATCGTGTCACTAGTTGTCAAGACACCAGAAGCATTCAGGGCAGCGAACTCGCCAAGGCTATGACCAATGACAAAGGCAGGGGAAATGCCTAAAGACATCCAGTACTTAGTCAATGCCATCTGCACACAGGTGGTTCCGAGCTGGCTAACGACCGGGCTATGCTCTTCAATTGGCACGCTGCCATCGACTAGGGACAAAATAGATGGGAAGCCCTGGCTCTGACCAATACAGTTCAAGTGCTCAATGTGGGTGCGGAATTGCGAACAACTCTCAAACAGCTCGCGTCCCATGCCTGTGTACTGAGCACCCTGTCCGGTAAAGATAAAGCCGATCCCAGGTGCATTGACAGGAGCCGGGCTGATACTGTCTCGGTTGACGATAGGAGCCAATCCACTCCTGACTTCATCCAGAGTTGATCCAGTAACAGCCACTCTGAAAGGATGATGAATACGCCTCGCTGTAGTTGTGTAAGACAGATTGGCAAGGAGACTAGCATCGTTGGAATTGAAAGAGTTCTTGTTCGTATCGATGTACTGCACGAGAGCGGAGATATTGTTCTTCAGCGAAGACTGAGATCGAGCAGAAACAAGCACAGGATGGGCAGACCGAGAGTCTACCACATTCTCTTCATTCAGGGGGCCGTCCTCGACCATCAGAGCTGTATTACCGCCGGCGGCCGAGAAATTGTTAACGAAAGTCTTTCGCTTACCACCATTTGGTCTGTTCCAGGGGGTAGGTTCAAGGGCAATGTGAACGTTGCGCTGAGAGAAATCTGTCGGGAAGTTGTGATTGATCTTGGTCTTAATGCCACAGTGAGGCGGGATCATGTTCTTCCGCATCATCATCAAGACTTTAATCAAAGCTGTGACACCAGAGGCGGACTCTCCATGGCCAACGTTCGACTTCGCTGAACCGAGGTGCAGGGATTGAGTTGGACCACGACGGTAGTCAGGAGCGAAGACATCGAGAACTGACTGCATCTCCACTGCATCACCTGCTTGGGTGCCAGTTCCGTGCATTTCGATATAGCTAATCTCTTTTGGATCGCTGTTCGACTCGTTAAGCAGCTTGTCGAAGATGAAGGACTGTGCTCCTACATGAGGCCGAGTAATTGAAACAGCCTCTGCTGAGTGGTTGGTATAAGCCCCTCCAATGATACCGTAGATAGGATCATTGTCTGCCTGAGCATCCTCGAGTCTCTTAATGACAATCGACCCAATGCCGTCTGCTCTGCAATAACCATCAGCACCATCGTCAAATGTGGTACAGTTTCCGGTCCTTGAGAGGAAGTGGCCACGGTCGAGACCCGCATGGTTGTCAGGATTTGTTAGAATGTTGACTCCGCCGGTCACGGCAGAGTCGCATTCATTCCTCCACAAAGAGTTACAGGCGACATGAATTGCCGCAAGACTTGAGGAGCAAGCTGTATCCACGCTGACACTAGGGCCACTGAACTTAAAATAATAGTTGATGCGACCAGGAGTAAAAGCACGGTTACCACCGGGGATGAAGTAGGTATCAATGTCCTGACCACTATTGATCTCACGGTAGTCATCACTGGTCATTCCATAGAACACACCGACGCGGTTCTTCTGCGTAGAGGGAGTGCTGTCAGGGATGAAGCCTGCCATTTCCAACGCCTCGTAAGCAGTAAGAAGTGCTAGACGTTGAGCGGGGTCTGCTTGAAGTGCTTCACGAGGAGACATATTGAAGAATCGAGGGTCAAACATTCCGGCATCGTTATACCAGCATCCATATTGAACTTGGCTGGTGTTTCTTGTCTTTCCTTCCATATCGACGTGAGCCTTGACATCCCATCGCTCTGGGGGCACCTCGCGGTGGACGTCCAGTCCCTTTTTCAAAAGGTCCCAGAATGCCTCGGTGTCGGGTGACTCTGGGAATCTTCCTGAAAGCCCGATGATTGCAATCTTGGACTGCTCAGCACGGCCGGTACGATTATCTCCCTCGGAATCCTTCTGAACATCACCAATTGTGTTGTCAACTTCCAGATTGGAGACTCTAGCCTTTTTCAATGAGTTGAATAGACTCTGAGCCGCAGTACTGGAAATTGGGAACAGAGTGCATGTTGTGGCGGATTCCAAGGTTGACTGGCAAGATTCGAGGACCTTGTCCCAGCAGAGCTGTCTTTGCAGAATCTCCTGAAGAGAAAATTTCAACAGCTGCTCAAGGCTTTCAGCTTGAAATTCCTCGCCCGTCTCACTGGACAGAACAGGGATCTGAGGCACGTAGGTCACGAACTGCTCAGTAGGCCAAGATTCCAGAATGCGGTTGATATCCCTGTCATCATACAGATGCGAAGCATGATAAGGGCCGTGGATTGGAACTCGTGTGGGCTTGTGCTCCTTCGAAAGACTATCCTCAATAAAACGGCTCAAAAAGGTTGGAGGGCCACTAATGGTGAGTCCATTCGGGCTGACTGCGCTGATATAAGGTTGGGAAACCCGGGGCAAAGCCTTGAATATATTAACAACGATCCTATTTTATTCTAAGTTAGTTTTGAGGGAGACTCACATTCTTCTTTGCGTATTGTTGGATCAAATCCTGGGCCTCGGGCTCGTGGATGCCAGAGATTAGTACAGACCAGCTTGGCGTTGCTGATTTGCTTGGTTCGATAAGCTCCTGTACTCTCAAGACGCAAATTCCGAGCCTTAAAGCAAGAACCACGGTCTCAGTGCCAGCCGAAATGAGCTCCCCAATTGTTTTCGAAGAGCTCACAGCCGCAGATGCGAGCTGGCCTGTGCAAAGACCGATAATGCAGCTTTCATCACCCGATGGATAGGCATGACCCAAATCGCCGTAATAGCTAATAGACGTTGTTAGTGAATTTGATTCGAAATGCATCTCTCTATCAAAGGCTGAAATTTGCTTACTGGATGAAACATCCCAGTTGGTAAATTGTCGTCAGTGCGCTCTCCAGTGCTGGGTTCGGGCCTGACTCTTTAAACCTCGCGAGAAGATCAACGATACTGGTAAATCGCGGGAACTGCTGACGCTCGGATGGTGGAAGCGATGTAATCTCCTTACGCAACGCATAGTAAGACTTTTGGAAGAATGCCGCCAGCAGCGAGTCATTCTTAGCATGCAGCAGACGACGAAGGCCCGAATCGAAATCCGCAGTCTGGTCTCCGAAGAGATACACATGACTGGGGCCTTCCATAATCTCCCCGATAACAAATAAACGGCTCAGAAATATATGGAGAAAGAAAAAAAGTTCAGACCAAGCGCAAATTGACGGATATCATACTTTATAGAGGACGCTGACGGGGGCATCTTCCATTAAGTGGGTCTATGGCATCTTCCAAATGACTACCCTTTTCGAATTATCTTAGTAGTATCCAGATAGGAAGCGGAAGAGCTTGGGTCCAAGATTCTTTCTGGTAAAACAGGATTTTATGGTATGGTAACCCAGCTGAAACCACTGGGAAACGTATGATCCGACGGCTTATTCCTCAGTATTCGGCAAAATTTCATATATTTTCCTAGTTCTGGTATTGATATGTATACTTCCTAAAATGGTTCGATGGTACCGTTACTACCGGGTTTAATAATCCCTCGAAGAGTTCGGCATGTCTGTCTGAGTAGATCGTAAGTGGAGCTGGGCTGGACCGAACTGAAAGCTTGGTTCCTTGGATAACCTGATTGGATCCTGAATCATGGATTTTTAATCCCCAAGCTAACGTCGAACCGATGCTAGTTTATGGATGCCCGAGTGCTGTTTGCGGATAAAACTAGCAATGACTCCAGAAATCAGGATTTAGAATAGGTATGTGGGCCGAGCTACCCGTAACAAAATCTGACATACCCTAGTGGAATCATAGACAATAGACCCGTTCCGAAGAAACATTACAATGAAGTTGCAATAAAAGAGATGATGTCGCTGCATTCGGAAGGTTACAGCCGCTATATCCAGTCATCACGTGACGTGACTTGCCCTATGTAAATCGACTAGGAATTGTCGAAGAATGTATCGAAGCTCAGTAGAAGGGCTTAAATAGGCTTACTTGTCTTTAATTTCAGAAATCACAAGGACAGCACCCTGAGTATGGAATACCCTCCCCCCACCCCCCCTCTTCCACAAAATACAATAATCAAAATGTAGCATACATTATTAGAATGCACGAAACCGATCATGAACAGTATCTACAAATGTCTTGCAAATCAAGAAGAAAATTTATATCGTCTGAAGGCATCATCGTAGGGGTTCCAATACGTCATGACTCCGACTTCAAATTCTGAGACATTAAGCCTTGTTTCAGATGGTCGCAGCCTGGAAGATCTCATTCTCATTTTTCCGGTGACAACTGTGCCATCAATAAGATATCCAAACGAAAATTGTTCAACACCTTCACTTGAATTTTAGAATCTGGGATAACCATCAATTCCACACGTGGTTCATCGAACGATGGACCCAGATGTTCTCAAGCCATCGATCGATCGAGTGGACCCAGATCATTCTTTGGCGACGGACCGGGCCTGCGATAAATGACCGCAAACAGACTGTATTTCACAGAAGGAACAGGTGATAAGAATAAATAGAACAAAATTGAATATTATCCTAGATCTTGTGGCAGCTGTTTCTATGTATGGCCAGTTATAAAAAAAGTACAAAAACGACACCAAAACAAAAGTCAGATAGATATCAAACCCAACCAACCGGCGGAGCGGTCATTGCCCGAGCAACAATACCTCAATCAGCAGTTTAGACGGGGTGGTGTCTGTGTTCTAAAAACCCTTGTTTTTCGTTGTAGCAAACCCAGGAATAACCTGATTGGCTTCGGTATCTGACACTCGAATAGTGTATTCATCCCAAGCCTTATCGAGCTTGATCATCGCGGCGCAACGCTCCCCGCTGAGGCTCGATGTAGCTACCACCAACCTTGCAGATATATAGCAATAGAAGAGCTGAAGACAAAAAGCAATTTTGGTTCTTTACGCCCCCGGTTACCATATGTAAAGTGCCTTCTTGGACACCCAAATTTCAAACTTTTGTCAGGTTCTCCATAGGCCTAATCTCGTTTTAGCTCATCGCTGGTCCCAATCAACCGCTCTCAGAGTTCTTGCTCTTACTCTTACAGGCTGACTTCTAGGGCCGCCCGTTCAACGACGCCATCGTGGCTCTCCTCAAGCTGGAGGACGAGCATCTCTCCTATACTAGTGCTCCTATTCTCACCTCCCACTCATATAGCCAGGTCTCTGCAGGTGCCTTGTGTGCTGTTGGGAATCGTCCCAGAATAGCACAAACAACGCCCATGATATTGTATCCCTCATGTGAGATCTCCACTCAATTGCTAGTTTACCTCTCGTAGAGAAGTATGAGCTCTACTAGGTCTTCTATTTCCAGTACACTACTGCTGCAAAATCTCACAGAAATCTGGATGTACAACAATGTATGGCATGGTATGCATGAAAGATATGGATGACTCTTAACTAAAATGACAAAATCCGCAATTTTTCCAATCTGTGCGGACAAGCTGACTAAACATAATATGCACTCTTATCTGGAGCACACTATTACAGCGGTCTATATATTTTCCAGGTTTCAATGCCCTATATGTATTTCACCATATATGACACCAATGGTACACATCCGACAGCATGTAATACCCGCGAACATTTTTGCATTTTTGAGAAAATATGTAGGGAAGCAGGCTTGTGTTTGTTGAATTTGCATAGTTTGCCAAAGATAGGCAATTTGGATGCTCACTAGAGAATGCCGAAGTGGCTGGGGAAGTTTTGGCTTCGAACAACTTTCCAGTTCGAGATGAGTTAGCCCAGGCTGAAAGACTGCTCAGATATTGAACCGAGGAATGCAGCAAGCTCATCTCCTCAAAGCCCAGTTAATGAAATTTCTGGTCAATATCAAGCGTAATGCAAGGGATGCCAATGGGTTGGGTGATCTGAAAACAGCAAACTGTTTGTGATGGCTGAAAATTCCGTGCCACAGCGAGAATGTGAGAATTTCCCGATCTGGCAGCTAGTGTAAAATGGCATTGGCTCTCCGACTTTACTTATTTTCAAGTTTTACAACGTAGAATGTAAATAATTTACAGCAATAATAGTCGGCCGGGTTTGCGGCCTTGTCACGTCTTTTTGGCGGTCTTTCCAGTAGTCTTTTTAGGTGTATGTTAAGGCGGTATATTAAGGCAGAAAAACAGCATAAACTGTGTAGAGGACTTTTCTATATATAACTTTTGACATGGTAGCTCATATTACATTCAAACTGGTTCTGGTTTTGATTTGGTTGCCTAAAGCGATGCTACTAGGGGTGAGTGTGCATTGATCGTGACATTGCATCTCCAGGGAGTAGCTTTATGGGTTTAAGATCAGGTGCAAGCAGGATTGGGGTGTTTGTATGTAACTCACATAACTGGATAGTTAACTCACATAAGTGGGTGAGGAAATCCCTGTGTTCCCTAGGTGGGGAACGCTCGCCGGTTGTCTCCGTGAGTTCGAGGGGCTGGCTTTCTAGAGTCGTCGTCAAAAGCTAAATCGAAAAGGTGATTTAGCAAAATTCCTTGGATCAATTGACCTATATGCTATGTTACTAACTATTGAAGCCACAACAGTAAAAATATGAGAAGTTTTGTATAATACTGAGGCCTAAACGAAGAATATTAAATGGGACAAAGAGTGGAAATACGTAAGTACTACTATGCTTAGTTAACTACCTACGTTATAACTAACTAACTAGTTATATATTTTCATCCATTGTACGAAATTCTGCACATTCAGCGAATCATCGACCTTTATACTATTCTTAGATACTAGGTAAAGCCTCTCGATTGATTAGTATGATTAGACCTCTTATTTTTAGACTAGAACCAGTTGCAGATATGTATAAAGGTAGGGGTTGGTCATTAGTAGTTCTTTTCTAAGGTTGTCTCTCAGAAATTTAAATCCAATGCCCACGGGTATTTCACTCTTGAAAGGCTGGACTGAAGATGAATTGTTTAATTATAATGTAATTCAAACAAATGAGAAATAAAGATATTTCTAGTTCGCCAGAGACCCTCTGTTGTCGAGAGTACCAGGGTTGTTCAACACCGAACCATGGATCGGCTACGGCTCCAGCCTTTTCATAGTTGCAACAAATGGGGAAACATCTTCGGGTATTTGACTACTACGATACCCCAGGGATTGGTTTCAAGACATCCAGATGCATATATACAGGCCCATAACTGTTAAAAGGAATAACCTTGGAACGATCACGCTCTCTTACAAGACTCGGTGGACAAGAGATATTACATAATATGATATAAGCTTATCGATAAGGCAGCCCTCCGCCGCTAGTCCTGATTGGGCCACAAACAAACAACCCCGGTCCTAGTTTACGCCCCAAGTGTCGTCTTAGGCCTCACCGATCTGAACCGCTCTGCCTTCCCCCCACGTCTTTGCAACCAGGTTGTTGGCCCCAGTCGGTGAAATTAAATCTCCATTCGCCAAACCTTTTTATTTTGAACCACCCAATCGAAACCTCCTTATTCTCTCGACAATGCTGATTGATTGAGCGATCGTTGCTATCCCTGCGGCCGTGCGGACCTTGTCACCCATCTGACCAAGCTGTGTTGTATTGGGTTCGAATCAACAACACAAACTCGTCCATTGATACATCACTTCCCTACCTTTACCTGGATGTGGAATTTTCAGAAGTGCGCCAGGTGTTGAAACTACTTACTAGGTCGATCCCGTGTGTTGCGCCCGCTGAAACCGTGTTCAAGCGACCACTATGGCTCAGCTGCCAATGCGGTTTCCATGCTGGTGCCGAGCAGTGTATTCCTGGGGTGGAGAGACTACACGAGATCTCGGATTTGTGGAGGGTGACTTGATTGAGTGCTTGAATGCAGGCGATGGACAATGGTGGATGGGTCGGTTGCGCCGTGACAGGCGCGCAGTTGGGCTGTTCCCGTCCAATTTTGTCGAGCTTCTGAGTGAAGATTTCGTGCCCGTGAGCCGTGACACTACTAGTCCAATGGTGCTAGCAGGATCTTCTCCGATCAACAACCCCACATCAGCTCCCAAGAAACAGAAGACCGTCTGGCGGAAACCCTTCCAGGCGCATAAGGAAGCCGTATCACCAGCTTCTGTCGCTCGGCGCGCAACTGAATCTAGCCCAGCGGCACCCGCGATTCCCCAAACACCACCTCGGGACGGCGCCAT